CTAGCTCTTCTTCCTGGGCTTTCCCTTGCCAATCATTTCACTCTGCCCCATCCTCTGAGCAGGACCACCTGCAATCTTTCTCCAAACCAACAGGCACCCCTGTTCTACATAGTGCCTCTCTTCTCTCCCCCTTGGCTATCTAGCAGAGTCTGAGTTTGACCTTGGCTCTTCCTTACTATCAGGGACAGTGTGTCTCTCCCTGAACTACCAGCACACAGAGCTCCAGGAACCTAGGTAAACTTCTTGGTGGTTACAGATAGATAAGCTAAAAAGGTAAACATGGGGTGAAAATGCAAATCTATGCCTGAATACCAACAAGAAAATCAGTGCTTAGAAATTTTCAAGAGAAGTAAAGATGAGCGTGAAGAAGACTCATTGCACTGCAAGTACTGCAGCATTGAGGTCAGTGCTCATGCTGGCTGAATAAAGGAGCATGTCGAAAGCAAGCGACACAAGCAGCTTAAAAAAAAGAGAGCGAGTGTCGGGATAAACAGTCAGTATCAGGATCTTACACCAAGGCTTTAATGAAGAACACAGCACAATTCTGTCAATGAATTTGTGTGTGCTCTTTGTTTTGCCAGACAACCGCTGTTAATTGCAGGAGCCTATTGGTGACTTTGTGTTACAGTACTGTCCAGCAGCAAAATCCCTTCCTAATGCAGACAATCTCACTCGTAAGTATCTAAAAGAAAATGATGCTTTAGTATCTAAATCGATGGAACAAATTGATGGAAATGTGGTGTCTAGTCTGATTTTTTACAGGTCTCCTAATGCTTTGGACCATCTGATTCTTGGCCTTGTTTTCATTTTTGATTTCGAAGCAAATAAACCCGCATTGTTTTGTGCTGATGTGACATTCATCCCTTCTGCTGACAGCCGTTTTGTCAATGCAGCAATCAGTGACATGTTTGAGATGTACCAACTAACTTGGGAAAATGTGGCAACAACTAACACAGATTTTGCTTCCTACATAGCTCCGTTTGCACAGATTTAACTCAATCAGAAACCAGAGCTGCTAAGCATTACCTGTCCTGCTCATCTGATTAACGTTGTGCTGTCAGCAGCTACTGTTACAGAAGAAATGAAAGACATGACATTTTGCCATCATTGGATTCGGGGACGTTTTCAAGCATGCGAACAACTTGGAGGCTTTGTTTTACACAATGTGAGACAAGTGCAGAGCTAACTGCCGATTACCTACCCTTCTTGTGCCACATCAGTGGATGAGCTTGGATTTCACTGCCTATCATGTAAATAATTCTTGGGCTGTGCTAGTGCGTCTCCTAGATCATCCTGAGTTTGTTGGTTCTATAGCAGAAACTCTGAAGAGACTGGCAAATAACCAAAATGACCGCCAGATTCAGCACACAAAGGTAATGTTCATTGTTGAAACGCTGGAGTTTTCTCTGACTACTGCCAACATGTTTGCCAATACTGACATTTACCAGATCCTGACAAGCAAAATTTCAGCTGAATTGAGCACAAAAGGTGCAAGAGAAACATATGGCAAGAAAAAACAGCTGTTTTTGGAAATCTTTCCAACCCCGGAACATGAGTAAGCCAAAAAAGCATTCAAAACCTTCAACACATCGCTCAGCGAGAAATGGGAGGGGACCATGGTCCCTAAGTTTGGTGACAAAGATTGTTTTTGGAATGTTGCACCCCTTCCTCAGGGTGAATTTTGCAGCAGACTATGACCATTATGCCAGAGCATTTCAACCATTTGCCTCTAAAAATGAAATTTCAAATCTGAAAAGGGAATTTACTACTTTGCCTAACCCTGACAATGTGAAATTGGATGTGCTAGTTTTTTGGAACAGTCATTAAGACACTTCCCACTTCAGCAAAGTGGCACAGCAAGCTTTGAGTGTATCCTCTGGATCTATTGACACAGAGTGCATATTTTCAAATTTGGACTACCTCCAAGACTGCAAGAGACTCAACATGAGTGAAGACACTGAAGAAAAAAATTATGTGAGCGTACGCAAACCACGATTTAGAGAAAAACTACTAGCTCAGAGAGACAAAAAATACCTTTGTACAAAAAAAAAAAAGTTTCAATTATACTGTAGTAAAATGTGTATATTATGAAAGTTTTTGGGGTTTTCTTTTTTCCCCCAATGTTTCTAATTTTTTTTAAACTCGATTTCATCCCGGTTTTAATATTTGGAAAATAAACACAAATATTCCCAGAATTTTTTTTTTTTTAAACAAATAAAAACTGAAAACATGGAACTAAATATACTGTACTGGTGATCACTGTTGCTTGCATTAACAAAATCAAGGTTACTGAAGTTCCTTATCTAATACGGATTACAGTATTCTATGGTAAAATATTCACAAATCAGTAATTGATGTGGGAAAGAGTATGGGAAGCAAATTGACATTGGCTCTTCTGGATAATTTTTAAATAAGCTTTTCCTTGTATTAACTCCCAAAGGAAAGCCTGTACATCTGGTGTGAACTAAAAGACAACATTTGACCTGCACTTGGATGCCTGACCCAAGACATTCTAGTGCTTTATAAAATTCATCTCCAGAGACTTTAAATATCTGCTGTATCTTTGGAAAACGGAACTAACTGAGGTGGTTCGCATTTTAATACAGCTGGGTCAGAAACAGTCTCCCTACATGGGGAGTGAAGTGGGTAGCCAGAATCACATATTTTGTAGCCAAACCACAGCCAAATTTTCAAATTTTCTATGTATTGTATACAAGTATCATATCTGATGCCTAATATTTGTTGTAAAGCACTATAAGAAGATTAGAGATTTTACAGGCAAACTCAATGACATAATATACCATGGCCAAATTTGGATTTGATGGAAACAGGTACAGCAACTGCACTGTCTTCAATGGAGTCACAACCACTTACACTAGATCCAAATTTGGCCACTTGCCTTAATGTTTCTGGACGTGTACTACATATCCTAACCCCCAAAATGGTGCAGGCTCTATGTTTGACAGTATCTATCCTCACTAACACACAATGCTTATCTTCCAAGATATTAAATTGAAACAAGAAACCTTATCTGTTACCTTATCTTCCTCCTCCTGAAAACTAACCAAGTGCTAGATAGTAATAGTTGTGCAATGAAATACAGTTTTGGAAAAAGACAGCTGAACCCACAAGATGACCTCAAAGAAAAATGAGGCTGCTCAGCACACTCTAGGATTGGGCCCAAGTTGAAGAAAACATTGAAGAGACATCTCTCCCAGCTTCAGTATCAAAGCATGTATGCAGCAACTGTTCTGTCTTGCTTTGGAAGATTTTCATACACTGATAAGTTATATTTCAGACATTTGAAAACAGCTGTGTCACTCTTATTGCTGTTGACAGTTACATGCAGTTTAAAGTATTATAGAATAATAAAATAAATAAATAAATAAATTAATGGAGATATCCCATCTCCTAGAACTGGAAGGGACCTTGAAAGGTCATCGAGTCCAGCCCCCTGCCTTCACTAGCAGGACCAAGTACTGATTTTGCCCCAGATCCCTAAGTGGCCCCCTCAAGGATTGAACTCACAACCCTGGGTTTAGCAGGCCAATGCTCAAACCACTGAGCTATCCCTCCCCCCAAATAATCAAATAATGTATTTAAAATACTGCTCTGATTCAGACATACTCAGCAGGATATTTGTTGTATTATCGCACTGTTTGTTTTTAAGTAACTAAATTATGTTCAGCATAAAATTCTACATTATACCATACGATCTCTCATTTCGATTAATCTAAAAATAAAACTTTAGGAAATTTTTTTGTAAAAAATTGTTTATTCAAGTGTTTTATAAACTACTAGGCAAATAGTCACTAAAGCCTTTGTGCCATGAGTGTAAACTTATTTTAAAAAATTGTGTTAAAAACTAATACAGGAATTCCCATTAATGTTTTAAAAAAGTTTGTTCACACATTGAAAGAAAATACATTAGCAACGTCTTCCAGCAGAATCCATCTTTAAAAAAGTAAAACTCTAGGTGCAGAACTGTTCTACAGTATATCTTCTACAGTTTATTTTAAAATCACATGATTGCATATCATCTCTATTGTCTTTTAGAACTTGATCAAGAGTTTTTCTTAAACAGATGATATTCAATGATGTGTTACACACTGCCACAGGTACTACAATTATTATGAGTGCACACACTGCAATTTACTTACAAAGCAAGACCTTTCCATATGCTGTGTCATACCATTCCTAGCCAATGCAGTTAATTCAGTTATTTACCTTTAAAATCATGTACGTTTTCCAAAGAAAAATGCTAAAAATCCATAGCCCAAATTCTGCACTCACTTACACACTTGCTATTCCACAGAATATAACCACATTTTGGTTACATGAGTGTGAGAGCAAAATTTGGTCCATGACTGTAAACATTCACAAAAAGTCTGCAGCAAACAGTGATGGATAGGTAGTCTATGTGCAATACAATTACTTCCATTAACATAGGGGGATGGTAAAGAGCATATCCTGGAGACAAAATGAAAGGCTTGTTTGCATTTCTGTAAAGAAGTGTTCCTCACTAGCTAAACTTTACTCAATTAAAAGTAACTAGTTCCTATCCCAGAATACAGTACAGCATCATTGTCTGGCTTCCTTCTGTTCTGACTCAGATAGAGGAGTATTCAGTTCAGCAGCAGGTCCACAACAGTATTTCATATGGCATTTTAAGAACCTGATCTAGTCTCCCCTCAACATACTATTGATACTAATAAAGAGTTACTCATGCATATGAAGGAGAGAATAAATCCCAAGAGCCATACACAGACCTTGATCTGTGCACATAACTCTTACTGATGGTAACGAGAGATGTGCATCTACACTAAGGATTGTCTACAGCTTTAAGTGTCTAATTTCAATCTAGATGTTCTTTCTACAGTACCACACATACCATACAAATTTGAAAAGAATGATGTGAAAAATACCACACACTATTTAGAATACCATTTTCCCCATACCGTTTGGCTGCCAATTGTTCTAATTACATAGGACGTCTGTGTTTAAAGGGCCTGGTCCTATGAGGAACCAAACACCCAGCTCCCCAGCTACAGAGGAAGTTGAAGATGTTCAGCACATCACAGGATCACATCCCAAATTGTTTAAAAGCAAGAGTAATCATGGATTTGTTTGTAATCTGACACAAGAACAGTTTCCCAGAAGCTCTTCACTCTCGTCTTGCTTCTCTGTCCCAATTTCTGGGCCAGATCATGTCCCCATTGAAGTCAATGGGTATTTTGCCATCGACTTAATGGCAACAGGATCAGGCTCTGTCAAGCCACCACTTCAGTCTTCAAATATGTCTTGCTTGTCAAGAAAAAGATGATATTTATTGCCATCCACTCTGGGGTAGACTTGTCTGCAGTGAAAATGGTGTTCCTGGTGCAGAGGGATAGCTAGTAAAACCATCAGGCTGAGCTGGATAGTTCTCTAGAGCTGAAGCTGAATGTGCCTTCAATAAAGAGAAAACAAGCAGGTTAGGAAGGAACTTTTAAAAAAGCAAAAAGCCATGCATAGAACTATTCCTGTTCATGGTACAGAACTTTTAACAAGAGAAGTTTCAGAATAGCATGTTGGCTGTGCTGCAGAAGAGGGAGATGGGAAGGAAGTATATCTAAGCGTAGGCAGTTCTTTAACAACCCCTCAGGGATTGAACTCACAACCCAGGGTTTAGCAGGCCAATGCTCAAACCACTGAGCTCTCTCTCCCCCCAAAATCTAAATCTAAATCTTCCTTGCTGCAGATTAAGCCATTACTTGTTCTACCTTCAGTGGACACGGAGAACAATTGAGCCCCATCCTCTTTATGATAGTCCTTAACGTAATTTGAAGACTTTTTGGGTCCTGCTCTCAGTCTTCTTTTCTCAAGACTTAATATACAGAGTTTGTTGGGGTTTTTTTAGCCTTTCCTCAGCGATCAGGTCCTTTTACCATTTTTGTTGCTCTCTTCTAGACTCTCTTCAAGACTCTCTTTAGTTTGTCCCTATCTCTTCTGAAGCGTGATACCCAGAACTGGACACAGTAGTCCAGCTAAGGCCTCATCAGTGCCAAATACAGCGGGACAATTGCCTCTTGTGTCCGACACAAGATATTCCTGTTAATACACCCTAGAATGATATTAGCCCTTTTTGCAACTGAATCACATTGTTGATTCATATTCAATTTGGGATCCACTGTAATCCCCAGATCCTTTTCTGCAGCACTACTGCCTAGCCAGTTATTTCCCATTTTGTAGATAGGAAGGAAAAATCAAATGCACAAGTGTAGTACTTTGCACTTGTCTTTATTGTCTTGTTGATTTCAAGACAATTTGTTACAGTTATTTTGAATTCTAATGCGGTCTTCCAAAGTGCTTGCCACCTCTGCTACATTTTTATAAGCACACTCTCCACTCCATTATCCAAGTCATTAATGAAAATATTGACTAGTGCCCGACCCAGGACAAACCCCTATGGACTCCCACACACACACCAATACATCTTCCAAGTTTGACAGCAAACCATTGATAACTACATCTTTGAGTAAGTCTTTGACCCAATTTTGCACCCACCTTACAGTAATTTCATCTAGACTGCATTTCCCTAGTTTGATTATGAGACTGTCCTGTGAAACTGTATGAAAAGCTTTAGTAAAATTAAGATATCATGCATACAGCTTCCCCGCATCCACTAGACCAGTAACCCTGTCAAAGAAGGAAATTAGGTTGGTTTGGAATAATATGTTCTTGACAAATCCATGCTGACTATTCCTTACAACCTATTATCCTCTACCTGCTTATAAACTGATTGTTTAATAATTTGTTCCAGTATCTTTCCACGTATCCAAGTTCAGCTGACTGGTCTATAATTTCTCCAGGTCCTCTTTGTTCCCCATTTTAAAGACAGGTACTAGATTTGCGCTTCTCCGGTCCTCTGTGGCCTTAACCATCCTTCATGTGTTCTCAAAGATAATGGTTAATGGTTCTGAGATTGTTTCAGCTAATTCCTTAAGTACTTTAGGGTAAATTTCATCAGGCCCTGTCAATTTAAATACATCCAACGTATCTAAATAGTCTTTAACTTGCTCTTTCCCTATATTGGCTTGCATTCCTTACCCCTTGTTGCAAATATTAATTTTGTTATGTATCTGGCCACAATTTACATTTTTAGTGAAGAATGAAGCACAATAGGCATTAAACATCTCAGCCTTCTTGATGTTGTCCATTATTAGCTCTCCTGGCCTGCTAAGTAGAGGACCTACACCTTCCTTTGTCTTTCTCTTGCTCCTGATATATTCATAAACCCTCTTCTTATTGCCTTTTATGTTCCTTCCTAGGTGTAACTCAGGCTATATCTATGCTACAGCCACTACAGAACACTAGGAAAGCAGTCTGATTCACAGAGACGGTAAAGAGGGGTGGTTTTCCAGATGGCTTCATTTGAGACTGAGGTTTTAAGAAGAGTTTCACTAATTTTCTAATCTTAAATCTTCCTTCACAACCTTATTGTATTTTTAACTAAGATCTATATTTAAGTTATAATTTCAGTGATCAAAGCATGCAAACAAGAACAATGTCTTCTATTAGTACAATATATATCGGTATAATTTTAAAATCCTGTAGGTAATTCTTTGTTCCCTTATCATTTTCCATCTGTAGATCTTAAAGACTTTACAAAGCAAACGGTTTCTCTGTCTGTAAAAATGAAGCACAGATTAAGTGATTTGCCTAAAATCACAAAATTAGTGTTAGGGAACAGAACCCAGGTCAGTGCACTAGATCAAGATATTACAAATTTTACAAGTCAGATCTGTCTCATTCTTTCCTCCTCCCCACTTTTACAATGCCACCACCCATAAGAAAGAATTTGACACATCCATAGTCTTTATAGAAAGTCAGCTGAAGTGCCATTGATGATAGTCCTGTCCCCCAAGAGCAACAGCTATCTTCAGACAACTGGATGTTGGATTATCAGAGTGTACTGTATCACCCTTGTAGCCAATTCTTTAAAGTAAGCTGTGCTTTCTAAAAGCGAAGATTTGATATTGAACAATTAATGCTCTAGTGGAGCCTTAAGGCAGTGAAATATCAAGACATATGCAGCTTACCTGTAGTAGCGCTGATTGCGCTGCTGCACTATGCTGCAATTCCTGCAGGGAAGACTGTGCGGCACTTTGGGTAAATCCAGGGATACCAGGAAGAGACAAGAGTCCAGGGAAAACTGGATTTCCTGGGGTTTGCAGCCCAGAAGTCAAGCTGAAATAATCAAGACATGGCAGTCATTAGGAACACTTTCAACAATATTTTATCCTAGATTTCTTATCATGCTAGAGCACCAGGGTTTCTAAACCTCAGTTAACTAAGTTTCCCAAACAGAACACCTAAGCTGCCACCCACACAATGTTTGCATGTACAAGCCAGGACACTGGTACACACATGCAACTTGAGCATGCAAGCCAGTATCTTATGTGCGGTTACCTGCTTGTGCATGAATATTTTGTAGGTGAAAATGTAGTGCTGGATGTTTTTCTTGACACAGAAAAGGCTAGGATATTGTCTGCTATTACCTGAGTATGTCAATTGATACATATTTTAGACCCATTCTTGCAAAATCCTAGCATGTTGTAGGAGATGCCAAGTACCCTCAACATGGAGCTGAGGACACTCATCACCTTGCAGGATTGGACCTTACAGAAACTGTAATCCTGTACACTAGTTGCAAAATATAGACTGGCCTCCTCGTTTAAATTCTAAAGACAGATGAAAATCTACTGCTGAAGTAAGCATTTAAAATATTAAAAGTACTTTATAACTATGCCTGGAAATACCATCTATGTCTAAAGTAAATCAGTGTTTTGCCAAGAAAGAAATGGTTTTGACCTCCTTCAGAAACAGAAACATACCCAGCCTGTGCAACAAGTGCAGAGTTGAAGTTTGAGCTAAAGGCCGAGGCAAACCCTGGCAGGACCGGAGCCGGAGATGGGGCTGTGACAGCTGCCGGCAGCGGTGCAACTGCTGCTACTGTAGAAGATGCCTGGAGGCCAGGGAAAGAAGGGAGAGCTGGAGTGACAGTGGGTGTGTTAGAGACAGGGAAACCAGGAAAGGATGGGTTTGATGATCCCAGAGGCCCCTGGGTGACAGAAAATAGGGAGGGGACGGCACTGGACAAGTTAAGCGGAAAGGGTGGAGCAGAGACTGTTGCTGAAGCAGTGAGTCCGGAGAGAACAGCTGCTGTAGAATTCACATGAGAAGCAGACACAGATGAAGCAGTTGTAGATGGAGTGGCTAACAAAGACCCTGGGACAGTGACCGGTGGTGTAAGTGCTGGGTTACCAGTAAAAGCAAAGTTACTGGTCAGAGACGTGAAGGGAGGAAGTCCATTAAATACTGGGGCAACTGGAGCAGAGGAAGCATGTGGGGCAAGGGAAATGGAGCTGTTTAAGGGAGCACTCAAAGAGGAGAGACCTGATAATGCTGGATTAAGGGAACTAGGTAAACTGACTGGCACTGAAGTTGCAGAGGTATATGTACGCCCAAGCGCTGACAATCCTAGCGTGCCATGAGATGGGCCAGCCGAATGAGAAGGGCCTTTGAAGGCTGAGAGAGTAGGGCTCATGGGTTCAGTTTTGACCAGAACTGGAATACCTGTGGCAACTGGAGCTGATGAAATCTGATGCTCGGGATTAGTAGGGCTCGCACCATGCAAAAGCGCAACAGAGGCGCCACAGCTGACTGGTATAATAGATTGTGAAGTGGTTAATGGTGACTGAGTTGGCAATGTTGGGGGAGTGGAACTAGGATTGGCTACAGAGGGAGATGGAAGACCCGGGAAAATGGCCAGCCCTGGCGTGGAAGAACGTTGAGGTGTAGGTGTGGCAGATGGGGTATAACATTTGTTTACAGAGGAGGCAGGAGGCTCAGAGCTTTGATTAGCAAGAGCAGATAAAGAGGCAAGCTCACTTGTCACAGCAGAAGGTAAAGCACTGATTAATGAGGTATCATTTGATGTCAGAAATCCCTTTAAGACAGACAGAATTGGATTAGGCAAGCTAAGTGGGCCAGAGATGCTAGTGGCAGGAGAGCTAGCAATTGCAGAGGGAATGGGACTAGACATCCCTTGAGGAGTGGGGGTCAAGGACAAAGGGAGGCCAGCAAAAACTGATGACAATGGAGCAGGATTATTAACTGAAGCAATTGAAGAGGTTGCAGAAAAAGGGAGGCCAGCAAATGGTGCAGAAGCAGATGCAAAAGCTTCATTAGAGGCAGGTGTGGCACATGGTGTGGAAGAAGCTTGTGGAGCTGGCGTAGCAGCAGGGATAGAAGCCAGTCCAGAGAAAACTGCAGGAATAGGGATGGAGGTTGCACTATGAACAGATGTGACAGGAACACCAGACAATGAAAGGGATTTGATGACAGATGGGGTTGGGGTTGATGGCTGAGATGTATGGATGGAAGAGGAGACCTGCCCTGGGAAAACAGGAAGCACAGGGGTAGACATGCTCATCCCAGGGATGACTGCAGTGGCAGATGCTAATGGATGGCTTATCGCCTTGACAGGGGATGGGGTAGGGACTGGAGTAGCAGCAGGTGTTGAAGGATTAGAACCATGAGGAGTAAAGAGCTGATTCGCTTGTGCAGAAAAAGCTGCAAAGAAACAAAACTGGTAAGAATACTTGAAACCCACAGAAATGTTTCAATTAAACAAATGCATCTTATATAATTATAAAATATGATACACAAGCAGTAACTAACACGTTTGTATATACACAATCTACATGGAAGGCTATGAAGATAAAATATAGAGGTATCTACATATAGGTGATACATGCCGAGCAGTATACAGTAAGTAGACTACATATATCTATGTGTCTCCCTTCAACGATTATCTATTACACACACTAGCAATTATGTCTAAACCACTCTATAGCATTTACAATTTCTTAATGAGCTAGTGCAAGCGAGTTTAGATCTTCAAACATGCTCCCAGAGATATCGCTATGTAAGACAGGTAAACAGCTAATTCCTGCCCCTAACATCTAGCAGCACCCATAATAGCATGAGCATTCTGCTCTCCACATGAGCTCTATATGAAGGTCTACGCTAATTCTAGAACAGGTAGATTGCCACGATTTTACAGAGGTTTGTTGGAATCCAGTCCACAACTGCAGAGTACATAATTTTAGGAGAAGTTTGGTTTTTATTTTATTGGTAGGTAGGTTTAAATCTTTCACTGTTTTTGATTCTGTATATCACAATCTGGACAGTAGAGGAAGTACACTACGAGATTCATGTGTGCTACAGGTGTACTAGCTAACAATGAAACCTGCTCATAAAAACAAAGTCTCTAAAAAACAGTTTGTTCCAACTGAGGATCAAATGTCCAATCTTCAAGTACCAATGCACTATAGCTAACACCAAGAATTTCAGTTTATATCAACCCTACAAAGTAAATAAAGAGGGATGTTCTCTGGAGGAAAGCAGGAAGGCACACTACCAGATTAAATGGGAGAGAGGACACTAAGTCTAGGTCTGAAAGCTGGTGTCTCAGAGCTCATTATGGGTCTTGCAACTCTTACTAAATGTGAATAGCCCCATCACCTTCAATGTGGGCATTTCCATGAGTAAGAACTGTTTGACCTCAACACCCCAAAATTTGTGCTAAACTGTGTTTTAACCAATTTGGAGTGCTATGTAAATACTGCATAAGGATTGAGCCCTTTAATTCTAGTCACTTCCACAGCATTTTTATAACACCTTGCTCTCCCTATAAATGCTATCATGTTCTTTGTTCCCATTATTTTTAATATAATTCCCTTGCTCCATTGTGGATTAGAAATAAGGCATGTAGTAATCTAATCATTGGTCGTTTCCCTTAAAAAACAACTTTTATATTTTGTTTAGAAATTAACATTTTCTGTTTAACCATGAACAGAGAAGACTGACCCAGGAGGCAAAACTTACTGCTTCTTTAACTCCATGTTATATCCTAAATTTACCTCTCCCCCCTTTATAACCTTAAGTTTTCCACCACTGAAGACTCAGCCCTAAGAACTTCGGATACTGTTTAAATTGATATAGGCAAATACTCTTAATATTCTGAAACTTAAACATTTTAGATATTTGCAAACAAAATGAAAAAGGTTCACTTCTGTCCTTTTCTACAAAACCAGGATCTGTGCCCCATGTCCTGGACTCTCTTTCCACAACCTCATCCTGAACTCCAAATTGAAGAATTAACTAGGGCTGTCAAGCAATTAAAAAAAGTAATCGTGATTAATCACACTGTTAAACAATAATAGAATACCATTTATTTACATATATTTGGATGTTTTCTACATTTTAAAAAAATATTGATTTCAATTACAACTCACTTTATATTTGTTTTTGATTTTACAGTGCAAATACGTGTAAACAAAAATAGTATTTTTCAATTCACCTAATACAAGTACTGTAGTGCAATCTCTTTATCATGAAAATTGCACTTACAAATGTAAAATTATGTACAAAAAAAACTTGCATTCAAAAATAAAACAATGTAAAAGTTTAGAGCCTGTAAGTCTACTCAGTCCTACTTGTTCAGCCAATCGTTCAGACAAATAAGTTTATTTACATTTGCAGGAGATAATGCTGCACGTATAATTCTCCCCCAAGGAGTTCAGTCACAAATTTAAATTAACGCATTATTTTTTTAACGAGCATCATCAGCATGGAAGCACGTCCTCCGGAATGGTGGTCGAAGCATGAAGGGGCATACGAATGTTTAGCATATCTGGCAAGGAAATAAATTGCAATGCCGACTACAAAAGTGCCATGTGAATGCCTGTTCTCACTTTCTGATGACATTGTAAATAAGAAGAGGACAGCATTATCTCCTGTAAATCTAAGCAAACTTGTTTATCTTAGCGATTGGCTGAATAAGAAGTAGGACTGAGTGGATTTGTAGGCTCTGAAGTTTTACATTGTCTTGTTTTTGAATAGTTATGTAACAAAAAAAAGTACATTTGTAAGTTGCACTTTCACGACAGAGATTGCACTATGGTACGTGTATGAAGTGAATTGAAAAATACTATTTATTTTGTTTGTCATTTTTATAGTGCAAATATTTGTAATCCAAAATAATATATACTTTGATTTCAATTACAACACAGAATACAGTATACGAAAATGTAGAATAACATCCAAAATATTTAATAATTTTCAATTGGTATTCTATTGTAAACAGTGCGATTAATCACGATTAATTTTTTTAATCACAATAATTTTTTTTTTTAGTTAATCGCGTGAGTTAACTGCGAATAATCGACAACCCTAGAATTAACTAATGATCACAGTTCTTGGCTCTGACCCATTAAAGTTGGTATCAGAGAAATCTAGGTTCAAGATAGCCAAGGATTGTTGTTGGTACTCTGGTTTTCAATGAGGATGTTGTCCTTTTAATTGTATTGATTTACCTGTGTATCTGTCATAAGCGTATAACCAAGGGTACGTCTACACTTACCGGAGGGTCCGGCGGCAGGCAATCGATGTTCTGGGATCGATTTATCGCGTCTGGTTTAGACGTGATAAATCGATCCCGGAAGTGCTCACCGTCGACGCCGGTACTCCAGCTCGCCGACAGGAGTACGCGGCATCAACGGGGGAGCCTTCCTGCCGCGTCTGGACCTGCGGTAAGTTCGGACTAAGGTACTTCGAATTCAGCTACATTATTAACGTAGCTGAATTTGCGTACCTTAGTCCGAAGTGGGGGGGTAGTGTGGACCAGGCCTAAGTGTGTCTTTAAGTAGCAAAATTCCTGAGCAACTACACCTGGGCACAGAGGATGGAGACAAAACAGACAGAGAACATTCTCTCAGAATTTTTAATGTTAGCTCCTTTAACAGGGCCATTTTACTTTATTTTGGTTACTTGCTTGTGTGCATAACAGAAGACAAATTCAGCTTGAAAAAAGTTCAAGTTATTTTGTTTTTAGTTTCTGCCACATAATAGGAATGGCACAAGTAGCAGCAATGAAACCTTCCCCACATACTGGATTTAAACAAGTTACAAGCTGTGAATATATTGTGCTATCAGTAAAATCTGGCGGTTGTGCATTCAAATCTCCCACTGTGACTTACATACACAAAAATCCTATTTGCCCCAGATTAGGCAAAAAGCAATTTTTTCAGCAACTGAAAAACAGTTGCTAATAATGAATTTCCGTGCACTGCATTTCTAAGAGTATTTTGTCTTAGTTGTTTGCTATATTATCTGGACAAATAGGCACACAATTAAAAATACAAAATATTAATGTTCATTCAGATTAAGTTAAAAATCTTGAGGTTTAAAAATAATTTACAACTTTCTGAAAGGAATGCATTAAATTGCATCAAAATACAGCAGATTTTCCCTGAAGAGCTGCACTTTACCTTGATTTTGGGAAGGTTTTGCCTGATTGGAAAGGTCTTCGTTTTCTATGTAGAGAACAACAGTTATTTAAGGGCAGAACAACTTCAGAAATAAGTTATCCATTCTCACATTTAAAAACATTTGTTTATGCCAACATTTATACAGACACACATGCTTTACCTGATCCCACTTGATTAGGGGTATATGGTGGAGGAGCTGGTAAGCTTGGTGCTAGGACACTGGCCATTGGAACTAGACCGGCACTGTTGTAAGCACCTAAAAAAAAACCAAACACCACACATATGCGTCAAACAAAAGTCAATAAATACAAACAGATGATTTAAGGGTGGACTAGTCAGTATTATTCTGTTAAAAGGATACTTTCAAGGCTCTAAAATGTTCCCTTATTAGTTAAAGCAAAGCCACTTAACCCTCCAGGCTGTATAGGATGAGAGGCATGTGTTCCAATGTAAGTTTTAGTTAGGGTAACTCTCTGATGGCTCATAAGAACAGTGTCAACGGAAGACTGAGATAAATGTATTTCTTGCTCTCTGAAGCAATCTGGGAGAGCAAAATTCTTGCCTCTTTCAATTCCATGCTGTCTTACAAGAAAAGAGATGGGAGAAAGGAAGTGATACGAAATGCATATGTGGGTCACAGTATTTATTGTTATTGTTCCCACCCTAACAACTCCCACCCCAAAGCTGTGACAACCCTTGTTTTTGGAGGGTTGATAATAAAAAAACCCACCAACACTGGCAAGGAGATCTACATGAAAAAGAAAGAGTCCTTTCAAGGTAAATGTCATACTTTGGAACCGTCGTCCTTCAACATCTCTTTAAATGATAAGGTACTAAACTGGAATAGCAGGTGATCTTGATAGATTAGGTATAGTAAATGTTTCCTATCATAAAAATAGCTTATTTTCCTATAATGTATAGTAACTGACACACACTGTTGTACTGTTTTAGCGCTTAGTTATTGCAGTGAAGAGGGACATCAGAGCTTATATAAAAATATGTATCCACACCCCCACAAAGGGTGTGAAAAACATATATGCAAATTCACACATATAAGATACAGACAGCACTATCAACACCACTCAAAAGATGGAAAGGAGCTTTTCAACATCAAGTAACTTCCGATATGTGGACTATTCATTCATGCTACAGGTATTAAAATTCCTTGCATGACTGTTTATGGCAAAGATCTAAGGAGCAGTTTACATTCACTGAGGGGACAAACACTCCCCACTGATATATACCAAAACACCTTACACATAAGTTTTGCTCATGGCTTAAAAACAGTCAAGTGAAGCAAGGCTCAGCTCACTTTATTTACTAACTAATTACAATGCAGTTTCTTAATGCAGTGTAGCATTTGATCAAAGGAGCTTAAAGCAACTGAAATAAACTTACTTCTGCTTGACGATGTGGTCTTTGCCTTTAAGGATACATCTACACAGCCTGGGGCAGCGAGCCTCTGAGCCCAGAGTGACAGACTCAGGTTCACAGGGCTTGTGCTACCACACTACAAATAGCTTGTAGATGTCGTGGCTCAGGCTGGAGCTCATGCTCTGAAGCCTAGAGAGGGAAGCGCGTTTCAGAGCCCAAGTTCTAGCACAAGCTGCAACTTAAAAGCAATCTACACAGCTATATTTAGTGGGGTAGCATGAGCCCAAGTCTGTTGGCTTTGCACTGGCTTTGCAGACATACCCTAAAAGGGACAGCATATCTTTTTCATGGCCAGATTCAAAGAACACATCCAGCTTTCCAACAACAAACTTTGTATTGGCATTTATGATACAGAAGTCAAATATTTATATTCAATTGAGTTGTAAGAACTCTATAGTTATCATCCTCATCTTTTCTGAAACGCATGTCACCTCCAGTAATAAGAGATTCTACAATCAGAACGGCGTTGACAGTTCTCTGAATGATGCACCAGCTGGAAAAGAAGCCAACACACTCATCGTATTGGCTTTACAGTGGTAACAGGAGAAGTTAGAGCTAGGACGCAGAATACACAAAGGGAGCACAGTCAACTAAAAAGGTAACTATGGTCAGAAATGTATCACCACACTAGAACTTTTTTAAAAGAAAACAAATAGATCAAATAATAGGATCAAGCTAAAGCACAAAGAAGCCTTACTTGGTGCAATAGTTGCATGTGGCCGGCATGGTGGGATGGGGTATGGAACAGGTTTGTGTGGGTTGTACGTTGCGGGAGCCTACGTTAAAAAAAGTGAAAAAGCATTAAGTAATACGTTTCTCCACCAAAAATTATAGCATTTAGATCAGGGGTTCTCAAACTGAGGGTCGGGACCCCTCAGGGGGGTCACAAAGTTATTACATGGGGGGGTCGCGAGCTGTCAACCTCCACCCCAAACCCCGCTTTGTCTCCAGCATTTATAATAGTGTTAAATATATAAAAAGTGTTTTTAATTTATTGGGGGGGGAGGGTCGCACTCAGAGGCTTGCTATGTGAAAGGGGTCACCAGTACAAAAGTTTGAGAACCACCGATTTAGATGCTTAGATACTGTACAGATCATTGTTATTTATCCTGGGAAAGAGAATTTGCTGTATCGAATCACATTGCTGACTTATTATGTTTGCTACCCTGACTCTAAAGCTGCCAATACTTGAATGCTTCTAAAGAAGGTGAAATACTGTGTTGTAATAACATAGTTGTGTAATATAGCAATAGGAAAGGAAAAAAGGAAAGTCTTTCCTGATCCATGCAGTTTTCATGCCCTGAAGCACTGGATTCTGTTTCCCTTCTCTTAATTTGCACAACCACAAACGTAAACTATGGCCATAAAATTATCCAGTCCTTAAAATACATACAATTAAAAATACAGCCACTAGATTGGGAAACACCTGGAAACAGAAGTACTAGTCATACATTTCTGCAATACTTCTCAACTCACACTGAAAACGTCAGATTCAGTACTTTGCTGTCCATTTGTTACCAAAAAAAAAAAAATTTTTAATCAGAAATTTAGTTGTGTTGCCACAGAATAAATTTCCTCATAACGCACCTTATTTCAGGAGTTGTGTATTAGATTTTGATGTGGAAAAGCCTCACAGATCATGAAGCAAAGCCAGAATGGCTGTTAAAATTTCTAGACGAGGTCATGATGGAACTACGGGAACCAGCTTGGCTTTCCTTACTAGCCTAGTTGATATTGTGTCCTAGAATGCATGCATAGTGAATCGAATGGAAGCCCCTGCAGAATTTATTTCTTTATAGTTAATAAAATTATAGAAATACTGGGACACTGCATAGCATTCTTATTACAGTTAAGAAGCTTAAGTAAAGCCATCAATACTTAATGACAAGAAAGTAGAGATGCAGCTTCCTCATACCCTCTTCAAGTCTTTTTATTTTCTAGTGATATGACAGCATTTCATAAGGAAAAAAAATCATAAGGCTTAAGGCGTACTGGTTTGGATGGTCCAAGTATACGGGCTGCAATTCCCTTCCCTTCATTAGTACATTCTTCAGTCTCCTTTTTGATAGGCGTTCCCTAAGACATAAAAAACATCAGTTATTAAGCATTTTATTTAGAAATAAATAGGAGAAAGCAGAGATAAAGATTTTCACCTTAGTCTTATTCTGAATAATATTCAAATTCACAGCTATTCTGATAGTCTCAATTAATCACACATTCCAAAATACAGAACTGTGTTCTGGATTTGTTGCATCACAATTAAGAAAGTTCCAATTAGGCTGCATTATAACACTGGGCTTTTGTATGCAGAAACATATTAAATAGTCACAGTTTTTGTTACACCTGGAATTCTTCATTCAATTCTGGGGTCCTCACCACCAGAAAGACAAGCTATAAGGAGTTCACAGACAACATTTAGCATAGGACATTTAAAAATGAGCTGAGATTAGTAAATGTATTCATAGATTCATAGATTCTAGGACTGGAAGGGACCTCGAGAGGTCATCGAGTCCAGTCCCCTGCCCGCATGGCAGGACCAAATACTGTCTAGACCATCCCTGATAGACATTTATCCAACCTACTCTTAAATATCTCCAGAGATGGAGATTCCACAACCTCCCTAGGCAATTTATTCCAGTGTTTAACCACCCTGACAGTTAGGAACTTTTTCCTAATGTCCAACCTAGACCTCCCTTGCTGCAGTTTAAGCCCATTGCTTCTTGTTCTATCCTCAGAGGCTAAGGTGAACAAGTTTTCTCCCTCCTCCTTATGACACCCTTTTAGATACCTGAAAACTGCTATCATGTCCCCTCTCAGTCTTCTCTTTTCCAAACTAAACAAACCCAATTCTTTCAGCCTTGCTTCATAGGTCATGTTCTCAAGACCTTTAATCATTCTTGTTGCTCTTCTCTGGACCCTTTCCAATTTCTCCACATCTTTCTTGAAATGCGGTGCCCAGAACTGGACACAATACTCCAGCTGAGGCCTAACCAGAGCAGAGTAGAGCGGAAGAATGACTTCTCGTGTCTTGCTCACAACACACCTGTTAATACATCCCAGAATCACGTTTGCTTTTTTTGCAACAGCATCACACTGTTGACTCATATTTAGCTTGTGGTCCACTATAACCCCTAGATCCCTTTCTGCCGTACTCCTTCCTAGACAGTCTCTTCCCATTCTGTATGTGTGAAACTGATTTTTTCTTCCTAAGTGGAGCACTTTGCATTTGTCTTTGTTAAACTTCATCCTGTTTAACTCAGACCATTTCTCCAATTTGTCCAGATCATTTTGAATTATGACCCTGTCCTCCAAAGCAGTTGCAATCCCTCCCAGTTTGGTATCATCCGCAAACTTAATAATCGTACTTTCTATACCAATATCTAAGTCGTTAATGAAGATATTGAACAGAGCCGGTCCCAAAACAGACCCCTGCGGAACCCCACTCGTTATGCCTTTCCAGCAGGATTGGGAACCATTAATAACAACTCTCTGAGTACGGTTATCCAGCCAGTTATGCACCCACCTTATAGTAGCCCCATCTAAATTGTATTTGCCTAGTTTGTCGATAAGAATATCATGCGAGACCGTATCAAATGCCTTACTAAAGTCTAGGTATACCACATCCACAGCTTCTCCCTTATCCACAAGACTCGTTATCCTATCGAAGAAAGCTATCAGATTGGTTTGACATGATTTGTTCTTTACAAATCCATGCTGGCTGTTCCCTATCACCTTACCACCTTCCAAGTGTTTGCAGATGATTTCCTTAATTACTTGCTCCATTATCTTCCCTGGCACAGAAGTTAAACTAACTGGTCTGTAGTTTCCTGGGTTGTTTTTATTTCCCTTTTTATAGATGGGCACTATATTTGCCCTTTTCCAGTCTTCTGGAATCTCTCCCGTCTCCCATGATTTTCCAAAGATAATAGCTAGAGGCTCAGATACCTCCTCTATTAGCTCCTTGAGTATTCTAGGATGCATTTCATCAGGCCCTGGTGACTTGCAGGCATCTAACTTTTCTAAGTGATTTTTAACTTGTTCTTTTTTTATTTTATCTGCTAAACCTACCCCCTTCCCATTAGCATTCACTAGGATAGGCATTCCTTCAGACTTCTCGGTGAAGACCGAAACAAAGAAGTCATTAAGCATCTCTGCCATTTCCAAGTTTCCTGTTACTGTTTCTCCCTCTTCACTAAGCAGTGGGCCTACCCTGTCTTTGGTCTTCCTCTTGCTTCTAATATATTGATAAAAAGTCTTCTTGTTCCCCTTTATTCCCTTAGCTAGTTTGAGCTCATTTTGTGCCTTTGCCTTTCTAATCTTGCCCCTGCATTCCTGTGTTGTTTGCCTATATTCATCCTTTGTAATCTGTCCTAGTTTCCATTTTTTATATGACTCCTTTTTATTTTTTAGATCATGCAAGATCTCGTGGTTAATCCAAGGTGGTCTTTTGCCACATTTTCTATCTTTCCTAACCAGCGGAATAGCTTGCTTTTGGGCCCTTAATAGTGTCCCTTTGAAAAACTGCCAGCTCTCCTCAGTTGTTTTTCCCCTCAGTCTTGATTCCCATGGGACCTTACCTATCAGCTCTCTGAGCTTACCAAAATCCGCCTTCCTGAAATCCATTGTCTCTATTTTGCTGTTCTCCCTTCTACCCTTCCTTAGAATTGCAAACTCTATGATTTCATGATCACTTTCACCCAAGCTGCCTTCTACTTTCAAATTCTCAACGAGTTCCTCCCTATTTGTTATTGCCGAGACCAATCACATATTATGTCAAAAAGTTCATCTACTAATAAGCCTTTTACACCTTTAGTTTCCATGATTCTGTATAGCAAGTTTGTGGTACAAGTTTTTCTATTTCTTGTATAAAAGGAGGTTTTACATAGAACTCTGAAGGAAAGAAATCAGAGTTCTTTTTAATTGTTCACTATGAATGGTTACTGGGCCACACATGACAAAAAGTTATTGCTTTTAATTCCACTCATGCCAAGTTGTCCTCCTTTCATTTGAATGAACAGCAGTTCAGGTATACTACAGTACATCCTAAATCAAAAGCACTTTTGAAGAACTTAAGTAGACTTCACATACTGGGAAAATTCCATTTATCCGGCTTGGTTTCCCCTTGGGATAAGGGTTTCCAGGAATCATGCCACAGGAAGATATCATAGCGTGAGGGGCTTTACAACCTCCTTTGGAAGCCTGCAACATAACCAAAGAAAGTAGCATTAAAACTCTACAAATTCAGATAGTATTGCATTATTTAGTGTCTGAAATTCAGCACTTTTAAAAGGATATGAATTGTGATATTCAGCCTTCATGAATAATGAATGTACCTACATGGAAATCCAGATTCAAAGCTCTCCATAGCTTTGCTTACCCTGTATGTTAGTTCTTCTTTCCATCTACTCCTCCCCTATTCACTGCACGCTATATGCTCTATCCAGTCCCACCTTGTTTTGATGGCTCCTTTGGGCCCAATTCTGCTCCTACTGAAGTCAATGGCAGTACTCAGAATAACTTTAAAGAAAGTAGGACTGTGACCCTAGTCATCTCTCACATTATCATGGCTTTTTTCCCTACACAACCCTTGTGTGAAAAAGTCTTCCTCTTCTCGTACAACCACCAACTATTTGCTCTCCTCCTTCACAGACTCAATTCCTTCAGATTGTCAACAGTTTCCATTAGCTATTAATTATATGGGCCCTGATCCTGCAGTGACCATAGGGATGGAAATAACACAATATCAGCGAACATCTTCTAATACCTGCTCAAGAATTCTCCTGCACCTTTTCTTCTCTGACATGTTAATCCTGAACAGGTCCTCAATAAGGCGGTAATTCTGAGCATCAACAATGTTGCTACAAAGGAAACGGTTGAACAGTTACTGTCATTTCTTATACCTATCACACACACATGATCAGGAACTAGCAGCTGAAAGCCCATGCAACTGCACAGGCATGGGGGGGGAGGGGGGTGCGTGTGTGTAAAACAGAGAAAATGGCTGAGACGTTAAAAATTGGATGGTAACAGATCACAAAACCCAGTGATGGATCAACCTGGTGATATTCTGAACCAAAAGAGCTCTCGACCATGCTTGTAGCTGCTTCCACGACTTTACATTATCTAACCAGACATTTGAGGCTTCACAGTGACACACAGAGTGACATTCTGTGGAATATTATATACACCTCTACCCCAATATAACACGACCCGATATAACATGAATTCGGATATAACACGGTAAAGCAGCGCTTCGGGGGGGCAGGGCTGCGCACTCCGGCGGATCAAAGCAAGTTCGACATAACACGGTTTCACCTATAACGCAGTAAGATTTTTTGGCTCCCGAGGACAGCGTTATATTGGGGTAGAGGTGTACTAATCATTTTTGAATAGTGCATTATTTGTTCAAACAGTTCTCAGTAATATATTAACATATATAATTAGTCTGTGCACAAATTATTATTAAACCTGTGTAGTGCTTGATTTCTCCCTCTTACAGGTCAAGAAATGAATTCAGCCTTACATATGCCACCAATGCTTATGTCTTGAAATAGGGTCTCTCAATTATTTGTAAATTAATACAATACACAGGAAAATACAAACTTGAATTTCTGAGTGGCCAAAACAGCCATGTTGAAAGGATGAGTAAAACCTAAGTTTATTGTCATAGTTCACAGTAGCAGCTCTCACTCCGACTGATGCTCAATTCTTATCACAGCAGCAAGGCTGCAGCTACCAGGCTTGGCACAGGCTCCTGCTCTCCACCATCTGGTGGCCTGGTGACAGATTCCTGCAGGATCAAAGAGAGGCTCTTGGCAGTTACCTCCATGCTGTGGAGTGGTGGTGAAACACTCCAAATGTCACATCAAAATTTAAATAAAGAAATATACCAAACAACTAACATTTCAAAGTGCAGCAGGCATCCCAGTACCTGGTGTCACCGTTTTGCCTAATGGCCCTGGTAGCAGCAGCCACACTGCTGTCACAGATGTTCCAGACTAGCAGCAGGGAGAGCTAATAGCAAAGAACAACTATGATTATAGTTACTTTCCATTAAAATAGATTTCTTGATAGAGGAAAATGTGGTGTAAATGGGATCATCATGGTACTGAACAAAGCGGTTAGCCACACACAAGCACAACGGTGTAAAATAAAAAAGTGGATCAACTAACTTTTTTTCTGTTTTGTTAGTTTGCACCACAGCCATAACATGAACTTAGTATATTTTTTATGGTGTTAGTGTTCTTTGTTTTAACAGCTGCTCATATCAAGAATTGGCATACTAAGAAGTCCTCAAATAGGCTTTAACACTATGAACCACAGTACAAGAGTCCCCAAATATAGATTTATATGATAGATCCTGGAGCAGTTGTGTTCCATCAATAATCCCAAATGTATGTTTACATGGAAACCTTTTAAAAACTGTTCTGACCTGGCAACTGAACGTGCCTATTTAAATAGGTGTTTACATACTTTTAAAAATGTGAATTATTTGCCAAGTGTAAATAAATACTTAGGGAGCTTTTAAAATGCAGAAGGCATTGGGTATTGGATAGATGACAGTGAGCTAATGCCCTGTGTAGGAATGGCTTGATATGAATTGTTGGACATGGGTGAGGCCTCATCCCTTGGGAGAGAGGATTAGAATCTGCTGACTGGAAACAGAATGTCTATACTAGATAAGATAAGGGAGGGGGGAATACCCAGGGAACCATTTACAATGGACAAGATAACAATGGATAAGATAATGCTAGAACATAAAATGAGGTAAAGAGTAGTCCTACATGCATAGTGCATGATGTACAGGGATTGGTTCCTACAACGAGACTAAGCCAATCCCAAAACATGTGATACAATTGATAGTATATGCAATGTAATGTGTAAATGCATATAAAGGAAGAGGTTTGCTGTGTAACTTTGGATGTGTCGTATGCCCTATACCAGAGGTTCTCAAACTGGGGGGTCGGGACCCCTCAGAAGATCGTGAGGTTATTATATGGGGGGTCGCGAGCTGTCAGCCTCCACCCCAAACCGCACTTTGCCTCCAGCATTTAAAATGGGTGTTAAATATATAAAAAAGTGTTTTTAATTTATTGGGGGGGGGGGTCACACTCAGAGGCTTACTATGTGAAAGGGGTCACCAGTACAAAAGTTTGAGAACCACTGTCCTATACCAACCCCCTATCAACTCAGCATAGCTTTGCCATGTGCCAAATAAAGGTATCTGAGTCGGACTGAATTCTTGGAGAACCAAGTGGGAGAGGTCTCAGGGGAACCCTAATACACAGTTTTAACCCACCTGGACTACTTTTGGCATAGTTCAGTAAGTGGAAATGAGTTTGATAAGCTCTGCCAAGTTTCTAAGTGTACATCTACACTACACACTCCTTATGGAGATACACTACATGCCCCCCCAATAGCATGGGTATAAACAGTAGTGTATACACTGAAGCACGGCTTAGGTGACTAGAGTAAAGACACATCTGAATCCACAGGGTCTGTACCCTACATGGCTCTCTACACATCCAAAGTCTCCTGCTTCTCTTTTCTTGAGCAGGTCCTGCCCGAGGGTGCTCTCGGCCCACCTCTCACCCTGGCCCTCTAGAAGTTGTCATCAGGCCCCTGCCTGAGCCCCTCTGGCCATTCCAACAAGCCACTTGAATAGGCTGAATGCCATCCAGCTGGTCTGTCTCTGAACTGCACCCAGAAAACATCTGTACACATGCTTCATACCATCCACTTCCTCGCCCTTGTGTCCTGCCCCGACACCAAGTTCCAGGACCTGCTGACACCTGAGGCGGGTGAGGAACCTCGGTGGGCCAGCCTGTACTCCACTCTGATATCACAGCCTGCTGGGGATATTAGTTGGCAGCTCCTCCATGGAGCCGTAAGTACAGGCATGTATTTGGCATTATTTACGAACTCCCAACAGCTGTTCTTTTTGCGGTGAGAGGGAGACACTGGCACACATTTAACGTAGAGTGCATCAGGCTGCAGTCCCTCTTCCAGCTCCTCCAGAACCTCTTACTGAGGCACTAGCTGCACTTTCCCCCTCACTTGTTTATCCTAGCACATTCTAGCCGCAGCCCCACAAGGTCATGAGACCTCCTCATCAACTTCCTTTTCATGCTGGCCAAGATGGCCAACCATCAGACCAGGAAGAGGAGGAAGCTGGATGGCAGGTGCTCTGCTACTGTGGGACCTCTTTCTGGTTCCTTGTCCAATCCCGGGCAGAGTTCCTCTGGGTGGTGTCCACTGACTCCTCAGACACCTTTGAGGAGCAGTGGGCATTGTCAGGGATTCTCTGCTCAGGATCCTCCTCTGGATCCTTGATTTTTAACCTTTAAGCTTCACTCTTGTCTTTTTTTTCCCCCATTTGTTGTCCTCAGTATTTAATTGTGGCCTGGGTTCAATGGCCCCTTTCCTTCGGTTGAGGGAGCAAGCCTTTGGCTTTGAGTGGGCTTAGGCCTGCCGTCTCCCAGCAACCACAACAGGTACACGCCCAAGAAATGCCTCCCCGCTCTACACTGCTAGTTTTAGGGTTGTAGTGTCCTGCTGCCAGAGTCTTTCCCACAGCAGGAAACGCTCAGGCAGCGGGTAGCCAGTGGGAAAAGGCTTTGGAAGCGGAGAGCTGCTGGGGCATTTCCCTGTTGCTGCCCCGCCTGCCAGAGCCTTTCACTGAAGCCTGTAGCTACACACTGCCCTACATGCTGCTGCCAGTGATATGCGGTGTAGACATAGCCTAAAAGGCTTTTGAATACATCATTAACTTTGGCACAACAGTCAGTTTTCAATCGGGTAGCAGGGGTATTGCAGTTCAGGACAGATGAACTTAGGAAGTTTGGCAACGCCTATCTCCATTACTTTTTCCATTCATGAGCACCAAATCATTTTAAAGCAAGTAGGTGTTTTGCCTTAATTGTCCAAAGTGGTTCCTCTGAAACTTTCCTTTGTCTGACATATTCAGACATGAGTAAAAACGGTAACATCTCAATAAGTAAATACAACACATAAAAGAAATACTTACGAAGCTAAGAGTTCTAGAGCAACAAGCTTGTCTTTACTAAAGGTGAAGCAGTTAAGGATATTAACCACTTTTGATGCTGGAACAGCTACCATTTTCTGACAACACAAGTAGGGAAAATAAAAAATAAGACAAGATTCTTATTTTTAGTACAGTATGTAACTTTAAAATCATTATCAGGAATTTCAATAAACAATCATCTTACACCCTCTGAGGAACAGTATTCTTATGTGCTAAGTGCTGAATACATAATAGAGCCCCAATTCTGGGGAACTGTATGCTACTGCAAAACATTTAAATTAGTCATAATTACCAAGAACTAGATTATTCCCTGGGATATATGGTGCAGAAAGCGTACAATCAAGATACTCCCAATAGAAGCAGAGAGTAAGAGAAGCAACACAGCATAATGCCATCATAAGAGAAAGCGGTGAAGAAGAAAGCACACAGATTATAAACTATGCCCATGCAATGGGAATACAGATGTGGTTATGGAAATTAAAAGCAGAGGAAACAGGCGGAGACACTTCAAAGGATTGCTCCATGAAAACATACATGTTGTAAAGCCTTCATTGCCTTTAGTTGTGGTTCAGCCCAAGAAAAGTATCTCAGTAATTCAACAATCTGAAACAGAAAAACCTACAGTTCACCTCTTATATATATATACACACACACACACACACACACGTTCTGCTGACAACGTTAAATATCTTTGCTGCCACTCTACTCATTGAGCGTGGTGGGATTTTGCTAGGCACTGTGTGCATATGTAGGCAATATTTGATCAGGTGTTATTACACAACAGTATCAGCCATTAGCCAGGATGGGCAGGGATGGTGTCCCTAGCCTCAGTTTGCCAGAAGCTGGGAATGGACGACAGGGAATGGATCATTTGATGAATACCTGTTCTGTTCATTCCCTCTGGGGCACCTGGCATTGGCCACTGCCGGAAGACAGGATACCAGGCTAGATGGACCTTTGGTCTGACCCAGTAAAGCCGTTCTTATGTTCTTGTCCAGTGTGTTTTTTTGTTTCATCTAACCCTTAAAATCCCATTGGGTAGCAAGGTAGATTTTGGGGTAATTATTTTAATATTCTTGTTTTTATATACACAAATACCTGACCAAATATCACACATGCTAGAGTATTATAGACTTTTAAAAAAGAAGCCTTAGAGAAGATTATAATAATTTAATTTCAAAAAGAGTAGCATCCAAATTTATACACAAATATATATACACAAAAAAATCCCGTAACGTTATCTTACTTGGCACCAAAGTAACAATCTTTACTTATAAGCTTAGAAGATAAAGACAGGTTCAAAATATCCCATCATCATTAAGGTCCTGAATTCCATGATAATTAACTACGGATATTTCCCTCCCACATGCTAAGAGCCAAAATCTGATCTCTATTAATTGGTACAATCTGGACCCCATTATTATGTTACTCCAGATTAAAATTGGTGTAACTAAGAATTTGTCACAAATCTCCTAAATTAGTAAAAGGGCAACTAGTGAAATCTGATCTGGCTTTGCATAGTAGGAGGAATTGTCTATGTACATGAGTGTATAGATCAAATCCTTAATTTTACATTTTCCATAAATACATAGCAGTATGTAGAATATTACCTGTTCACTAGAGAAGTATCCATGCACATATTCTATAGCTTTTAATTTGTATTCAGTCAACACAGCCTAAAAGGCAAAGAAAGACATTTAGCTGACAAAAAAAAAAAAAAAAAAAAAAAACCACAATTAAAAACACACCATCTGCAAGACAAATGTATTCCAGAGAAAAACATCTAATCTCACAAAAATCTGCATCAATTATACTGAAAGATTTCTATACTACAGAATATTCCTTGAACAATTACGTGAATATTTTCAAGCAGAAGGAGACTTAAAATCTCTTTTACTTTGTTAGTTTCTCTATTAAGAAGTTCACCATATCTCTGTTTAGGTTCAGACTGGAAGAATACCATAATGGTCCTCCTTTCAAGCTTTAGATACACTGGCTTTAATATTAACTCTCTAATGGCTCTTGAAACCAAGAGATGGCAGTTAATTACTTCAAACTGCAGCTTATATATATTCCTATTTAAGGCATTTAGTTGTACATCTTGCTTTAGTTACTTTTATGAAGAATCTAGAGCAGCGATCGGCAACCTTTGGCATGCGGCCCGCCAGGGTAAGCACCCTGACAGGCTGGGCCAGTTTGTTTACCTGCCGCGTCCGCAGGTTCGGCCGATCGCAGCTCCCACTGGCCGCGGTTCGCCGCTCCAGGCCAATGGGGGCTGTGGGAAGCAGTGCGGGCTGAGGGATCTGCTGGCCGACGGTTCCCACCGCCCCCATTGGCCTGGAGCGGCGAACTGCGGCCAGTGGGAGCCGTGATCGGCCGAACCTGCGGACGCAGCAGGTAAACAAACTGGCCCGGCCCGCCAGGGTGCTTACCATGGCAGACTGCGTGCCAAAGGTTGCCAATCCCTGATCTAGAGCCACTCACTCTGGGCATTTCTTGGGGACAGGCTGCTAGAAATATAAAGGTGATAACTAAAATTATGGTCATGAAAGTTAGCTCTAGAGAATGCTGTGACCTTGTCAATATTCTCCTGTTACACATGTTTAATACACACTTGTACAAAACATAGGGAAGCAGAGTGGCACAGTGGTTAGGGAACTGAACTGGTACTTAGGAGACTGGTTCTATTCCCCTTTCTGCCACTGACCTGCTGTAAGACCTTGGACAAATCACTTCACTCTTCTGTGCCTCTGTTTGCCCATCTATAAAATGGGGATGATAATTATCTCCTTTATGAGATACTTTGAGATTTGCAGGTGAAAAATCACTACATAAGAGCAGTTATAATAAATTAGGCCAGGTCTTGGGGTCATGTATGAGCAAAGGGTGTTCTAACTACTCCAACAGTGCAAAACTAAAAACATATTCAGTGATCATCATTGCATGAGGGCGTCGCAAACCTGAGGTAGACAATCCGGGGGCAAGTTATGCTATCTTTAGGCCCCGCACAAAAACTGCACTAGACTGACCCATTATTTTTATATCAGATGTTTTTTGATACCATGATATCTGTTAGATGTCTAAGCTTATGGCCCATGGCAAGATCTTCAAAACTAGAGACAATATTATTTCAGTGCATTCCTACCTAGCAAACATAAGTATTCTGTTGTGAAACTCCACAATCAAGTTGTTAAACCCAGCTTAACCATAACAAAAGTAATCACGCTGGCTTTATCCCCTCTAGAAGTTAAAAGAAAAGGTAGAAAGGAAAGGAACCATCTCTTTGTGTACAGTACATAGCCTTTCCCCCCCGGCCCACAGTTCAGGCCTCTAGGGACTACAACAATAAGTGCAAATGAACAAGTGCTCTCTCTCTGCACCATACCACTCTAGTATGATCAAGCTATTTACAAAGAAAATTCATCTCTACACAAAGTTGAGGATAAATAACCCCATTCTTACTGAACTCCTGCATTCCTATTCCTCTGCTTCCATTTAAAAAGTTATTTCCAGAAATCAAGAAATCATAACATGTGGTATGTTTGAAGGAAGTGAAATGGGTTGCAGGCCTTAGAATGATATGAGTATCTCTTTTTTTTTTTTCCTTTTCTTTTTTTTTAAATTCTGGGAGATTCTTATTTACTTATACTATGTCCAAATATCCAGGAAGATCGCATAAAATTTCAAAATATTACACATCTACACATCTGAAAAAATCTTGTTTCAGAATTTTATTCAAATACAGTTCTGAACCTGCTCCCAGAACTTTGTTTTTATTTACAGTAGAACCCACTATGTCCTAGGCGCTTTACAAACAGTAAAAAAAGGTCTGTGATTGAAGGAGTTTAGTCTCAGGACAGAAACAGACTGACAGGGAAAGAGAGGTCAACAGTCACTGTAAGTAGCACAGCAGAAGTGGTTCTTTCAAGGGGACATAAATGAGGAGTTTAGAGGCCTTGTTGATGGTCATATGAATAGGGGGCTGTGTGGAAGAAGGTGGGGAAATGATTGTGTAATAAGACAAATGGGTCAACAAGGCTGAGAGCACTAGCAGAGTGGAGATGGGCAACATGAAACTGGACGGAGGAGCAAAGTTACGCAGAGATTTACAGGAGGTGACGAGACGCTTAAGTTTAATGCAATAGCAGACGGGGGATCAGTGGAGGGATTCAAAGGTAAGAGTTATCGGATCAAATACGTGTGTTCCAGAGATCAGTGATGAGATTCTGAACAAAAAGGTTTGGCTGCAGGGATGGAAAAGAATAGAATGGAACTTGAAGGTTCTGAAAAGGCAGCAGCAGGAGGATTCGGATATGGCCTTAATATGCGAGGGAGCAGAAGTCAAACAGTCCCAAGATTATAGGCCTGAGAAATGGCGAGCATGTTGCTGACAGTGATGAAGAACTTCTGTTTTGGGCATATTCAATTGGAGATGACAAGACATCCAAGGAAAGAGATATGATTGGAGGGAAGGAGATAGTGGCGAAGCTATATCTACAGGTCATCAGCATAAAGATGATGCCTGGTGTCATGTGAGCCAATGACTAGGATCGCTTCTTTAAAAGGACTGAACGGTTTCATAAGGAACAATACATCAGTTTGTGTTTTCAGAGATTGCAGGTAGAGGCTCAGGTTATGTCTATACTACAAATTACTATGAATAATTTACGTCGCTCAGCGGTCTGAATAATCCACACTCCTGCCCGATATAAGTTATACCGACCTTAGCACTGGTATGGACAGTGCTATGCCGGCAGGAGAACTTCTGCCTACATAGCTACTGCCTTTCACGGAGGCAGGAGTTAAGATGACCAGCTTAGAGCGTCTTCACCAGAAGTGCTACAATGGCGCAGTTGCACCACTGTAGCTGCTGTAGTGTAGACATAGCCTCAGACACATAGCACAGTTGCTCAAGTTCTTTTCCAGTTAGGAATAAGTTACTCAAGATGCAGCTCAAGCACTGGACTGTTTCCTTAATTACACCCCAGCACTTGGAAGCTGGCATAATTATGCATGGTCTCAAGTAGCATTCTAAAGCTACAACTCTTTGGGGAAAAAGAAAAAAAATATCAGTGATATTGTTACAGCTTTAGACTAGCAGTAAATGCTGCACATTGGTAACTCCCCTTGAAAACAAAAGAAATTGAAAGGATATATTCAGGGGAAGAATGAAGTGATATTCGTGCCAAAATAGGTTGCTGTTCAATTACAGATCACATTTTAAATTATTTATTTGCAGTTTCATAATAAAAGGATACAAGAATTATTTGTCATTGTGGTACAGAGCTGGTCTTAAAATTTTTACACAAGTGATTCTAGTCAGTCAATGGGCCTACTCATCAAGAAAGGAACTTGGATTGTAGGTACAGTACTTACAAGAAACAGGGGTAACCTTTCCTTCATTCACATGTTCAGCGCTAAGTTGCTAATAGTTTGAGTAACAATAGCATAATAAAACTTGCATTTAAGGTATTTTAAATTAAATCAAAAAGCAGTTGGTATCTCTAAAATATAACTCAGAAAACTGAACTTTATTTAATGGGAGGCTATGTGAAAAATTAATGCTGACAAAAAAAATTACTATTGTTACAAATAGCATAAGACAACTAAAACACTACAGAAAGCTGAGGTTTCCTTTCATTGGCATGAACCTTTCACATAATGAAAAGCAGAGAGAACATATTTTTAAAATAATAAAATAAAATTGCAAAAATTTACATGTGAATTCAGGGAGACACACAGTATCTGATACTGTACTTTCGATACATTTTTAAAGTTGACTAGATTTCAAGTTCACCCTGAATACTTAGTCTCTCTCTCATATACATATATACCACTTAATTACTTCTACCGTGCATTCAGTACTAGGATCTGAAATCACTTACAAATAATTAGTTAAGACTCACAACATATCTAATGTTGGGACATGTTAATCCCATTTTACAGATTAGGAAATGGAGGCAAACAAGTTAAGCAACTCGATCATCAGTAGTTAGCTCAGCAGAAAATTCCAGTAGACCATTTCAGGCTAGCGGTTTTTCAGACAAGTGAATGTTTAACCTACTTTTAAATATTAGAGACCCACATTTAATTTAACCAACTAGCAAGCTATTTTTAAAATTGCACTTTTTATGACTTTCTTCTTCTACCATTGATAAAAAAAATATTTGCTGGTGAAGATTTAGCCTCATACCCATAATAAGTATTTAATGTCACTAACACTAGGTAAAATTTGATTTTTCAAAGCATTATATCCTCTAAAAGAATTGTAGTTTCAAGATTAACAAAAAACAAAAAATAAAAAAAATGCCAGTTTAGGCAGGGCCTTTCACTAATGGGATAACAAATTAATTCAATGTATGATTAACTTTTAGGGGTGCTCTTTTAAGATACTGAATTAATTTTACTTGCAATCAAAAACTGTATTTAAACATGAAACTGGATGTTGCTGCCACTTTAAAAACAACTCAATTCTAAACTGAACACCTACGATGTACAAATCTATATTAAAAAGATAAAGTGTGGGAAATAGATAAAAATAAGATGTATTACATATAAGGACAAATACATGTCAGTGTTAGTCAAATTTCACATGAATAGTAGCAGTATTTAACTTTCCAACTACCTTCTATCCCATGAATTTTTAGCTTAATATAACTTTAAAACATATTCCTTAAATCTGGTCAAGGAAGAAAGTGATGCAAATTTAAAATATACCTAAAATAAATGGGTCATTTTGGTGTTCCTTAAATCTTCATCACATCTGGGATGAGAATGCAAGCTATAGAACAGGCTAGTCCACTTAAGCAATTTAAAGTTCGCCAGTATCAAACATAAATGTTTTGATAGAGCATGATCCAGTATAATATTAAAATGCCTGTCATTTAGTCTCAGTTTTCTGAGCAAATGAAAAGCGTTCGAAAACTTGTTCATACATGACCAAAAGTCAGGGGGGGATTACACATACTTGTTTAAAAAGCACAAAATGCACAACATAGCATTAATATTGAAACCTTTATAATATGTTGAACTTCCATAAAAACCTTTCATCTAAGAATCTCACAGCACTTTATAGACATGAATGAACTAAGTCCCATAGCATGCCTCGTTCTACGTAAAGACTGAGGAAACCTGAGGTTTCAAGAGACCGAGGGCTTGTCTACACTTACTGGGAGATCCACATGTGGCGATCGATGCATAAGCGGCCGATTTAGCGGGTCTAGTGAAGCCCCGCTAAATCGACCGCAGATCGCTCTCCCGTCGATTCCTGTATTCCACCTGAACGAGAAGAGCAAGAGGAGTCGACGGGAGAGCATCTTCTATCAACATAGCGTAGTGTGGACCCTGCAGTAAGTAGATCTAAGTACGTCAACTTCAGCTACGTTATTCATGTAGCTGAAGTTTCATAACTTAGATCGATTTCTCCCCGCAGTGTAGACAAGGCCTAAGTAACTAGAAAGACACTGCACAGTAATTCTAGAACAGCAAGAAATATAATGCAGATCTTCTGTCTTTCACTCTCATGTTTTAACTATACAATATAATATATACTACTTACAAGTCCAGAACAAAATAATTTAAAACAGTGATTTTCAACCTGTGGCACTGAGCTCAGGAGTCCGCTGACTATATCTAAGGGGTCCACAAAAGGCTGTCAATATACAACAGTGGTTTTCAACATGTGGTCCACAGACTCCTGGAGGTCTGCAAACTAAGATTTCCACCTCCATTTGAAATTTTTTAGGGGTCTGCAAATGAAGAAAGGTTGAACCCACTTTTTAAAAATATCTATTATACAGTTATATTTTAACCTTTTATGAATTAGTCAAGTTTCAACACAATCTCACAAGATATAATCTCTGCCATGAGGCATGCAGATGGAAACAAACATGCCACACAAGAAAGAGTCTCAACTAGACTAAATTTGGTTTACATTCAGCAAAAACTAGTATGTCTTATCAGCATATCATTCTGCTCTTTGAAGAGTGGGCAATAATTGGACTTTTACTGCCTTCCAGAAGGAACAACAATTAAGGCAAACTGTGTTTAACCAACTGTACTCCAGCAAGGAGTTTTGCATTTACACAACCAAACATGTAAAAAGATAAGTTACCTTTCTAATTTCATCAAGCACGGTCTCAAATGATTTCTTATCCATCTTTACTCGTTCATCCAACGTAGATTTTTATTTAAAGAAAAAATACATCCAGGCAAGACTCTTTACTGCAGAAGCGTCTTTTTTATTGTAGAAGAAAAGCACCGAAAAGCGACACTTTACAGAGATGAAAAAAATCTTTTAAAACAGTCAATAAGAAAAAGGGTCAGGGCAGGGGATGCGACTCTTTTGGACAGAGGTGCGGATTTCAGTCACAATATAAATGCTTGGTTCAATGCACGGTTCAGCAGGAGACGGGGATTAACGCTCCTTGCCTCGGAGCTGGCACATTAAAGGGGGGAAGAGTTACATGGTTTTGTGAGGACGGGGAGAGAAAGGGGACGAAGAAGAAAGAGGAGGCAAGGAGCAGGGAGAGAGGGGACCCCAGAAAGGGGGGTGAGAAGCGGGGCAGCGCCTGGCTCAGGTGCCGCCGGGCATACGGGGCGGTAGAGCTGTGCAGCTGCCTCAGCCTCTTGCCGCTCCCGTCAGCGCGCGGCCCTCAGGCCCGGCAGCCCCCGGGCTCCCCCGCTGCCCATCGCCTGCAAAGCTCCCGGCTCTTTGTTACCAGCAGCAACAAAAGCCACAGCGCTGCCGCGGCTCCGGCACAAAGTAGCCCCGGCTCCGGACCTAGCCCAGCCAACCCCCAGCCCGCGCCGCGCCCCGCCCCGGGGCCGCCGCCGCAAGTGAACTGTAGAGCGCCCTGCACGAGCAATAACCATCGGCGACGAGGTTCCTCCTCGCCACTGGGGTCCACAATGCCCATGAATCGCACTCCAATGACATCATCAACCAACGTCCATGGTATCTCTCGGAGGACCCCTCATGCGGCAGAAACCCCAAGAGTAAGTTGACTGAGTAGAATGCCTGAATCCGGGCGGAATGGTCCCTCTGTTACAGCGATCATAACCCTAGCTACTGTGCTCCTAGCATCCTGCCGAAAGGACTGGTATCGATTGTTTAAAAATTCCTGGATACCGGACATTGTTCTCCTGCGCTCAGGCACTCAGGTGGACAACTCCAAAGGAGATCAACAGGGTATAAAAAATTGGGAGGGAGGCCTGACCTCGCCATCTCCAAGTCATGTGACTGACATGCGCCTCCTGTTGTCATGTGACAAAGCTACAGTCTCCCAGACAGGAACCAGTAGGAGCCGTGGCTCTGCCTGGAGCCTGCCATAGCATGCTCGGCCCGCGCACGCTGAGGGGTGGGGCCTCCTGCTGACGTGAGCCACCAGCGGCTCCGGGGTGGGGCGGGGGAGACCGAGCCCCGGCGGTGACGCTGTCCGGGCTCCATGAAGCTGCGCGGCAGGCCCGGCCTGGCGGTTGCCATGGGCAGCGCGGTAGTAGCGCTGCTGGTTTTCTATTGCGCGCTCTCGGGATCCCAGGTGGGTCTGGGCAGGGGGGCGGGGCTCCCCGCTCGCTAGGCCCCGCGGGCGGGCGGGGGATCCACCTACAGGTGGGTGGGGTGAGCTTGGGCCCCCCGTGTCTGCTGGCTCCGTACCCCCCCCCCATCTTCCGTGTCAGTCATCCCACCCTGGGCCACAGCTGCGCTGGGGGGCTGGGCCACGGGCGCGGGCAGGAGATGGCTGCTGGAGGAAGGGGGAGCCCGCTCCGTCCTCTCTGTCTCTTCCCAAGCCAAACCAACAAGGAGTCTGGTGGCACCTTAAAGACTAACAGATTTATTTGGGCATAAGCTTTCGTGGGTAAAAACCTCACTTCTTCGGATGAATAGAGTGAAAATTACAGAAGCAGCTTTTCCTCTTCTGGAATTGACACCTTCTCATCTATTATTGGGAGTGGACTACATCCATCCTGATTGAGTTGGCCCTGTCAACACTGGTTCTCCACTTGCAAAGTAACTCCCTTCTCTCCATGTGTCAGTATATAATGCCTCCGTCTGTAACTTTCACTCTATGCATCTGAAGAAGTGAGGTTTTTACCCACGAAAGCTTATGCCCAAATAAATCTGTTAATCTTTAAGGTGCCACCAGACTCCTTGTTGTTTTTGTAGATACAGACTAACACGGCTACCCCCTGATACTTCAAGCCAAACCCTCTCCCACCCCCACCTTTTCTGTCTCGCCCTCCCAAAGAGCTGAACTTGGTTCTCTGTTCCAAGCTCCTTGTTCGTGGTTCCTAGTTAACTTAGTCAAAGGGCAACATTATTTTAAAATGTATCAGTGTAAGAGTCAGTTTTTAGAAATATCACCTAATGGGGGAGGGGGAAATAGCTCAGTGGCTTGAGCATTGGCCTGCTAAACCCCAGATTGTGAGGTCAATCCTTGAGGGGGCCACTTAGGGATCTGGGGCAAAATCAGTACTTGGTCCTGCTAGTGAAGGCAGGGGGCTGGACTCAATGACCTTTCAGGGTACCTTCCAGTTCTGAGATAGGTATATTTCCATATATTTTTATATTTAATGTGAATAATGTAAATTACTCATTACTTTACTAATTAATCAAGTAAGAAGCTGGGTGTTGACTGGCTGTGTGTGACCATATAAGCCTCAGGTCACCTAACAGGCGTGTCCCTGCAACAGTCAGCCTGTTCTGAAGGAGCTGGGGCACCTCACTCACTGACCCCAAAGCTTTGTTCCTGTGCAGTGTGCTGTTGCATAGCACCCCATCCCACGTCCATAGTGTAAATGGTGATGGAATAAGGAAGTGGGTTTGACTGGCTGTGCATGACAAACTCTTTCCCAGGTCACCCAAAGTGACACATTGCCACAACCATCTGAATGTTTGGAAGGAGCTGGGCTACACTGCCACTCACTGACCTGAAGCTTTGTTCTTGAGCAGTGTGCTGCCACTTGTTATGCCCCCACCCCATTTCCATATTGTAAACAGTGCTTGAATAGAGAACTGGATTTTGACTGACTGTATGTGATAAAATAAGTCTTTGGTCACCCTAAGTGACACGTCCCCACAATCATTAAGCTGTTCTAATGTAGCTGAGACATGGAACTGCCTTACTTGAAACTTTTATGGTGCAAAAAATTGTGGTCCATTACCCCTTCCCCCCACCCCAACACAATCTCTCGTGAAATAGGCTGCAATTTTTGCAAAGAGTTTCAAGTAAGGTACAGCCAGTCAAAATCCAATTCCCTAATCAAGCACCGTTTACAATATGAAGTAGGATGGGGGCATAAGAGATGGCAGTAGTGAGGGTTTGCTGTCAAACTGGGGGGGATGTATCTAGTGGGGTCCTGTAGGGGTCTGGCACTAGTCAATATTTTCAGTAATGAAATAGCTAATGGAGTGAAGAGTACGCTTATAAAATTTGCAGATGACACAAAGTGGGAGAGGTTGCAAGGTATTGGAGGAAAAGAACAGAATTCAAAATGACCTTGACAAAGTCAAGAATTGGTTGGAAATCAACAGTATTAAATTAAATAAAGACAAGTTCAAAGTGTCACAGTTCATGGCAACTGCATTTGTATTCCTCCTCCATGGTCCCACAAGGGAACCCACTCTAGGCTCCTGGCTCCTCGGCTGTCACTTCTCTTGAGTAGAGACCCATATTTTTCTCCCTCCTAACCAGGGGTGCACACTTCCCTAGCTACACTGAGATTTCCAGCATCTGCAGTTTGTTTTCTCTTTGAAGGCTATGAACAGCATAATTGCCTTAAGTTGCAAGTTACCATATAGCCCTTTATAAGCAAGCACATTTATTCTTAAGGTGAAAGTATCATAGAGAAAACATTAAAACAACAAAAGAACCTACATGCATACCAATAAGCGTACTACTGATCACCCTCAACTCCAACAAGGACTCTGGTAGGAGACAGTCCTTCAAACCCCACAAAAGGGTTTTTCTGTGGTTACAAGTTCATAACAACCTCAGCTCACAACCAGAATTGCTAGGAAAGTTCACTCTTTCATTGATCTTCAGATTCCAGGAACAGGTAATCAGTAGACAGTGAGCCCCTCTGAAGAGCATAGCTTCAAAAGTCTGGTTTTTTTGCATAACCAGAGGTGGGAAATTTTCATTCACCTCCCCCTAGCGATCCTCAGGAAAATCACTTGACACTACCCCAATTGTCCATTCTTGTCTGGCCCATTGTTCAGTATACTCCTCTGAAATTATTAACACTTCCTGAGGTTTACATCCTATCTCTCCCCTAGAGAAGTACAGACAATCCTAGTCCACAATAATACATAACCATTGCATTTAATGCAATGGACTCAAATATACTTAACCTTAATTCAGGAAGGTTTCCCAAGGATATTGCAGGAAATTGTCATATCTGTCACACAAAATACTATACATAGGAAGGAAAAATCAAATGGATAACTATAAAATAAGGAATAACTGGCTAGGTGGTAGTACTGCTGAAAATGATCTGGGGGGGTTTAGCAGATCACAGATTGAATTTGAGTAAGGCTACATTTTAGTCACTGGTATTTTTAGTAAAAGTCACGGGCAGTAAACAAAAATTTACAGCTCATGACCTGTCCATGACTTTTATTATATACCCCCGACTAAAACGTGGGAGGGTGCCACGGGTGCTTTGCGGGGGGTGGCTGAGGGAGGGCATTGCAGGTACTGGGGGCGGTGACCCGGGGGGCACTGCGGGTGTTGGGGGTGGGGTTTGGCGGGGCTGGGGCAGGCTCCCTACCCGGCTTCTGAGCTCCATGTGCTGTCTTGCCTCCGCTCTGCCCCAAGCCCCGGTTCTGCAGCTCCGATTGGCTGGGAAGCTGCGGGGGCGGTGCCTGCTGGTAGAGGCAGCACATGGAGCTAGGAGCTGAGGGAGGGAAGCCCCCCCTCCAGGTAAGCACCACTCACCCCAGCCCTGAGCCCCGCCACACCCAAACTCCTGCTGCTGGGGGGCTGAGGTGGGGAGACTGCCCCAGCAGCAGCTGGTGCGCCTGGCCCGGGGCGTTGCCTGAGCCGAGGTTCGGCCCTCAGTGGGGCTGTGGGGTATCCCACCGCCTCGCTCTGGTCTGCTGTCAGTCCTGGTCCAGCGGTAGTGTGGGACAGCAAACACACGGTTAGGGGCTCAGGCCCTTAAGCAGGGGCTGAGCCAATAGGTCAGAAAAAGCCCCGGGCCCTCAATCAGGGCGGGGCAGCAATCATGCAGTCTGGAGCTCAGGCCCTCACACAGGGGCTGAGCCAATAGTTCGGGAACCTAGGCCCTTAAGCAGGGGCTGAGTCAAGGGATTGTAGCAGCCCAGGCCCTAGGTCAGGGCGGAGCAGCAATCAAATAGTCAGTCAGGAACCCAGGCCCTTAAGCAGGGGCTGGGTCAGTGAGCAACAGGTCCCAGCCTCTCTAGGCCAGGGAAAAGGGGGAATCTGCCACCCAAGGAGTGGGTGGCAGGGGGGACGCAGGCCCTCCCACTCCACTGCGTCCCAGCCCGGGGCCCTAGCAGCGGCGGAAACTCGCTGCTGTCAGTGGGGATCCTGGCCGCAACACACTGACATATGCTCTGGCAGTGCTGCAGCCAGACAGGGGTCGGCTGCCCCCGGGCTACTTCCACACTCCCCCTCGTAGGGTACCTGGACCAGACTAGTGTCCTCGGTGCTCTACACCAGCATCGGTTCCTCTGGGTAGGTAGCGAAGGGTATGCTCGGCTCCTCGGGATAGCAGGAAAGGGGCAGGCTCGGCTCCTCCTCGGGGTAGCTGGAAAAGGGCAGGCTCGGCTCCTCCTCGGGGTAGCTGGAACGGGGCAGGCTTGGCCAGTCCTCCTCGGGGTACCGGGCGAGGGGTAGGCTCGGCAGGCCTGGTGAGTCAGCAGGTCGGTCGCGGCCTGCGGCTGTCTCCCAAGCGGGAGCTCGGCCACAGCCGTCTGCTCTCTCCGCCGGCTTGTCCTCCACTGAGCTCTGCAGGCGGGCTTTTATACTTCCGGGTCGGCGCCGTGACCTCTGAGGGGCGGGCGCCGGACCCGGTGGCTCCGCCCACGTTGGTGTTAGGGGAGGTTCGGCCCTCAGCGGGGCTGTGGGGTATCCCAACGCCTCGCTATAGATGGTCTAGGTATACTTGAGAATCTATGAAACCCTGTTACTGGCCTTTCTGCACGCACACCTTTATCAAAGTTTCCCCCTCCATGTGGATGTTTGGCGCAATAGGTGGTTGTGTCAGGATTACAGACCATAAAGCAGCAGACAGCACCAGATTATGCAGTAATTCTGTGCAGAAATTTATGAAGAAACGTCCTTTCTGTGCAAAATGGGGTCTGACCATACAGATCCTTAGGAATGCTTAAATATAGGTGTCACCAATAATCAGCACTAACAACAGCAACCATTGCTCAATTAATTAAAATATTATAATAAATAGCAACATCTATACTTATTTTACAATTTCAGAGTAAACATGAACATATGCAATGGATTACGTCTATTGAGTACACATCATTTCATTAATGGTGACCCATGCATCTTATTCATTATTGTTAAGTCTGATCACAGAAAGATTCAAAAATTTTACCGTGGGTTATTTCCAGCAGAGATTTCCAGCATGATAGCAAGTTGAAAGACAACAGATGCATTTTGGTGGATGTTTTTCAGAGTAGTGACTTGTCTTTTTCAAATACCATTTATTGAATATTCAGACAAAAATGCAGTTCCCCTACCACAGAAAAATACGCCAACTGCCCTTCCTGTAGTACCTTTTTATGTAACTTGAATATAGTATTAATATTTACAGTGTTTCAAATATTGATTAGTTCAATAGAAGTCATCAATATTATTTGTATAAACAGTAAAGCTTTTTTCTTGTGTAATGAGCAAAACACACAACTCTAATAAACACAACTGGTTTTATGTGTGTAACAGAATTTAAAAATTTTTTATACCTTTTTCATCTAAAAACAAACCAAAGTTCTTCATTTGTAACTATCATATAATTTCTATGAAAACATTACGGCCTGATTTGCAGCAAATTCATTGAATACTGATTCTGTTGATTTTTACATGCAATATTACATATTGTATGTTAACTAACAGAGAAAACACACACAAAAATTGGGGCAATATATCTGTCAGACCAGAAATAAAGATTCGCCTCTGGAAGGGGCATATCCTCATCTCTTCATAATGAAATAATTGTTGCAGGGACTTGTCACTTGGGGTAACTCAATACATATTTTGTCCCATACAACCAGTCAAAAGCCAGCTCCTTATTCACACACACTATGTACAATACGGAACTGGGGTGGGGATGAGACGAGTGGCAGTATATTGCTGAAGAACAAATCCTTGGGTTGGCAAGTGGCATAGAATCCTAGAACCATTGGGTTAAAAGGGACCACAAGGGTCATCTAGTCTAACCCCTGGCATGTCTCAGCTACTTCAGAACAGTCTGACAGTTGTGGAGATATGTCACTTGGGGTGACCCAAATTGAATTATCTCACGTATAGTCTGTCAAAACCCAGCTCCTTATTTAAGCACTATGTACAGTATGGAACAGGGGTGGGGGAGCATATAGCCCAAGAACAAACCTTGTGGTCGGCAAGAGGCATATCCCAGCTCCTTCAGAACATCCTGACAGTCGCTGGGCCATGTCACCTGAAGTGACCTGAGACACATTTTGTCATATACAGGCAGTCAAATCCCTGCTCCTTATTCAAGCAGTGTGGAATAGGAGTAACATGTGGCAGCATATTGTGTAACAACAAAGCTTCAGGTTGGCGAGTGGGATGTCCCAGCTTCTTCAGAACAGTCTGATGATCACAGGGACATGTCACTTGGGATAACCCGAGACACATTGTACAGCCAATCAAAATGTGATTCCCTATTCAATCTTCATATACAAAATGGAAGTGGGTTGGGGGTGTGACATGTGGCAGCACATTACGCACGACCAAATCCTCAGATCGGCGAGTGGCATGGCCCAGCTCCTTCAGAACAGCCTGATAGTCATGGGGAGGTGTGTCTCGGGTCACCCTCAATGACATTTTGTCATGTACATTTAGTCAAATCCTAGTTTCCTTATTCAATCACCATTTATAAAATGGAAGTGGAGTGGAGGTATGACATTTTGCAGCATACTATGCAACAACAAAGCTTTGGGTCAGCGAGTGGGATTCCCAGCTCCTTAAGAACAGTCTGATGGCCACAGGGATGTGTCACTTTGTGTGTCCCTAGACTCATTTATTCACATACAGTCTGTCAAAACCCACTGCCTTATTCAAACTCTGTGTACGATATGGAAGTGTGGTAGGGGTGTGACATGTGGCAGTATATTGCACAGGAACAAAACTTGGGGCTGGGGAGTGACTTCCCCCAGCTCCTTCAGAACAGTCATGTGGGTCAGAACAGAACATGTCATGGAGACATGTCACTTTGGGTGATCCAAGACTTATTTTGTCACATGCGGGCAGTGAAAACCCAGCTCTCTGATTATTTACTTGATAAATAAGGAATTAGTAATTAAAATGATCACATTGTCACATTAATCTGATGACTTTTCTAAATATTTCATCTTACATTGATATATTTTAAAATAATGTTGGCCTTTGAATAAGGAACTGGGAACCATGAATGTGGAGCTGGTACCACAAATAAGGAACTGGGAGTAAGGAATCAACTTCAGCCTCGTGTCTCTCCCTGACTCTCTTCCCTTGATTAAGAAAAAGAATACCAGCTATATTACAGTAAAGGGTGAGGTTTTAGAAAACATTTTCTCTCTTTGTTCCCTCTACTATATTTTCTATCAGGTGTCTGCAAGTCTAACTTTTATTAGGAGAATGCCAAATTAAGCAGCCATAGAATTGCAGAGTCCAGTGGGCCCTGATTGAAATGAATGGGACAAGTCACCCCATCTGAGCTATTGTTTCAGGCTCCCTCCAGATGCTGGTAGATGATGCAGACAGTTTATGCTTGGCTCACATTTGAGTTTTCCTCTATGACTGTGAGGGCTAGAACATACATTTTATATATATAATATATATATATATAAATGTCAGATTCTGGAGCACAGTTCTATGGTAAGGAGATAAATTCTGTAGCAGATTCCATTGTCATGGAATCATGGAGTGTCCAGGGCCCTGCATATTCCTTGCTCTTTTTCTTGTCTTTATGCTTCTTGCCCTCCTGATCTGTCTATGTTCACAGGTTTCTGGCTTTTATCCTTTTTTTCACTTCCCTGCTCATTCCTTCTCTCCCTGTGTTTCAACCTATTCCTCTCTTTCCGCTTTCTCTTTGCCACACTCATTCTCTCTGTACTTTGTTTTCCCTCTTCTGTCCTCTCCTTAAACTAAGTTCCCCCCCCCCCGCCACCTTTGCTCACTTGCCCTGCACAATCCAGCATTTTACCTTTGGAGAGAGGAGGTGAGGTAAAGCATAGATGCCTTCCCAGCTCTGCCAGGATCAGTAGCCAGCTGCATATTGTGGCCAGGAGGCTGAGTTGCTTGCAGGGCTACTAATCAAGTGTTTCCTTAAGAGTTTTGGCTCTCCTTGTGTGTAAGGAAAGGCTGAAGGTCTGTATGGGAGGCTTCTGGGAGGGTGGCAAAATGTGTTAGACCTGGTTGGATGTGGTCTTTGAAATGCACGTGTGCTCATCCTGTCTACTGTCACCCCCTTCATCTCCAATGACCCGTCTCTGATCCTTTCGTCTATAGTAACGTTCTGGTTTTACGTGTACAAGAGAGTAAGCATGATGTTGTCCTTCAGCGAAGACCACCAAGAGCATAAGGAGCCTACTACTAGAATAAGCCACTAGAGATCTTCTTTAGCTTAAGTTGTAGAGAGCTGTAGGGTGCTGAAGAACTAGAATTCCAGGCTGGCTGTAGCAGAATGGAGTCATGTTGAACTCTGTGGTTGTGGCAGCAAGAGCCTTGAGATCCATTGGATGCTTTGTGATGGAGCTGTCAACTACCTATTAACACACACGGGTGTTATGCAGTGAAGGTCCCTTGATAATGGAAACCGCTTTAGGAAATTAAATCTAGCCACCACCCAGTTCACACAACCTCTTTAAACACAGGTGGTATGACTTGTTTCCATATTACTCAATTCAAAACTATATTACTCCTCAGGGTGCTTGGGGTGAATTGTCTTGAACATGATTCTGATCAACATGGTTTAGCCAGCACATCAGATACAGCTACTGGAAGGCTATTGTGGACATACCATCCAGAATGTTACAAGAGCTTAGCAGTTTTTAAAAGTTTTAAGAAAGACCTCAGCACATTTTGAGTGCCACGAACTACCCAACTGGGAAACAATCGTGTAATTTTGCCTCAGTAATTCTACAGCATCCCTGCACTCTGTTTAGATACAATCCCATGTCAGAATAATATTTGTTATTGAGTAATTGGTGGATGTACACTTGATTTAACATTTCAAGTGTGCTGATTCACTTGGCTCTAACAAGGAAGATTTACAAAGGACCAAAAAACAGCTAGATGGCTAACATCCATTGACTTTCAATGGAAATTAGACACCCAACCATCAAATTTGTGTCTTTGAAAATCTCACCCTAATAATAACTAATAAAAAGCTGAAGGATTATAGAAAGTGGAATTTCATGGAATTTAACTGTTAATGGTTTTTTACTTTTATATTTTTAAGGTATTAAGAGCAATTGCTTTTTACTCCCCTTGGAGGATAGAACAACAGCTTTACAAGCTGGATGTAGGCTGGCCTAAACGTCCAGAATATTTCACTGGGCAAACATTTTGTGTTGCTGTTGACCCTCTTCATGATCTAGTCTATGTTGCACAAGTAAGTAATAGGACTAGAATTTTGTCCTTATTAGCATTATATTGTTTTTCCTGTGTGGAGTTACCATTTGCATTTATATTAAGATAATTATAACAGTTTATTGTATTAAATTCTTGATGTAAATTTGACTAAGGTTATTAATAGTATACATTTCTTTAAAGTAGTCCTGGATATGAAGGTTCTTCCTGTGCATATTGGGCTTGTTGCTTTTATGTTTTTTAATGGCTTAAAATTAAAAAAAAAATAGTTTTGAAATGGCAAGTGCTACAAGGAAAGATACAAACCAGATAGCGTACAACATGGAAGCCTGCTAGGAGAACGGAGGCAACTGTATATGTCACTTCTGCTACTGTTTTTTGCATCCCTGCCTCAACTCAGTAAACCGCAAAAGAAGGGTGGCCGCTGTGGGAGACCCGGGTTCAATTCCTGCACTGCCACAAACATCCTGTGTGAATTTGGGCAAGATACTTATAGAGATGTAAAAAGTTAACCGGTAAAAATAGTCTTACCGGTTAACCGCCTTAACCATTAACCCTGGCTGCCCCGCACCGGCCAGTCCAGTGGGCCCAGCTGCGCAGCTTGAGCAGCGCCGCCCACCCGGGGCAGTGCCACCTGCCCAGAGTGAGCCCAGCTGCAGCACCCGGACAGAGCGGGCCCAGCCGTGCTGGCCAGATGGGCCCCAGCTGGTTAACCGTTTAAACGACTTCTTTTTAATTGTTTAAACGATTCATGTTTTTAACAGTATTTATATCCCTAGAAACTTAGTTGTAAAGGGTATTTACATCCCTAGATACTTAGTCTCTCTGCCCCTCTTCCCCATCTGTAAAATGAGGATAATAATACTCACAGGAATGTTGTGAGGATTAATAAATCAAAAACTGTGAGGTGCTCAGATACTCCAGTGTTGGGGGCTGTCACAGTTCAGGGTAACTGCACCTGCATTCACCTCCATGGTCCATTAAGGGCACCCCTTCTAGGCTCCCAGCTCCTCAGCCATTAACTCTCTTGGGGAGAGACCTTATCTCTCCCTCCTGACCAAGGGGCTTTCCAGGTTGCACAGTTCCCTGGCTACACTGTGATATTCCCAGGAAGCCAGACTGCCTAAACAGGGCAAGGTCTGCATTTTGCTTTCTCTCAAGGCAATTATGCACAACATAATGGCCAGCAGTTGGAAGTTACCACACAGCCCTTTATAAGCAAGCACATTTAATCTTAATGTGAAAGCGCTACAGAGAAAACATTAAAACAACGAAAGCTCCTACATACAAACTAATAAGCTTACCAGAGATCACCTTCCAACTTCAGCCAGGGCTCTGGTAGGAGTCAGTCCTTCAAATCCCATTTCAGAAGCATTTAGAAATACATCCATGTCATCCTCCTCCCTAAAAGGAGGAAGAAATTTGGAGTCAATGCCATTCACCAGGACAGGTAGCTAGTGACTGGCTCCACTTACCAGACTATGGTTCTGCTGGTGCAGTTTCTCTTTTTTGAGCTGATGTTATTGAACCTGGTCCTACTGGCACAGTCTCTCCATCTTGACAATACTTCTCCTTCTCTGCGTGTTTGTGCTGACACTGGCACTTTTCATGCTGGTGCTGTTGCTCCTTGTCTGCAAACAGCTGGGGTTCCAGATGCAGTCAGTCCTTCTCCAGTTGTGTCCTGTCTTGGTCAGCCTGTGGACCTGCCCACGATCCCAGTTGTAGTGATGGATTTGGTCTGGACAGAACATAGTTGCTGCCTCTTGTCAGCCTCTTCCATGCTGCCCTGCAAAGTGTTGGCTCCAAGATTCCCCCTGCCTGCTGGACCCTGCGCCAGTGAGTTGAATGTTCCCTACCAACCTGGACTTCATATCTCTTCCCATCATCAAAATACAGCAAATCTACTAGCTGTGTCTTTAGTCCTCTGTGTTGAGCTGCCTGTCTGTGCATAGCTCAGCCAGCTGACCTTTCTTCAGCTGTGGATAATTCATTTTTGCCTGGCTCTCTTTTCGCTATTCCTTTCCACAAAAGACTATGACTTCACTCTGTGGTTTTTCCTTCTATAGTACTTGCTTTCACTGCTGTTAGCACTTATGGCAATTCACACTGCCACCATATATGTCATAGTCCAGGGCAATTGCACCTGTGTTCCCCCTTCATGGTCCCTCAAGGGCACCATTCGAGGTTTATGGCTCCTCAGACAACAACTCTTTTGGTCCGAGACCCACATCTCTCTCCGTCCTGACGGGGGTGGAGGGGTTTCCTAGGCTGCACAGTTCCCTGGGTACACTGTGATATTCCCAGCAAGCCAGACTGCCTAAACAGGCCAGCATCTGTGATTTGCTTTTGTCTTCACAGGCTATGAACAGCTGTAATTGCTTGCCATTATAAGTTACCACAAATCTTTTTCTACCAAGCACACTTATATTTAAGGTGAAAATTTTAGAGACAAAACATATTAAAAACAATAAAGGAACCTACACACATACTAAAAAGCTTAATAAAGATCACACCCAACTCCAACAAGGGCTCTGGTAGGTGTTAGTCTTTCCAACTCTTCTGCAAGGATTGGGCCACCCCAGGTGAGTTGATTTAAATCAGCATGTGGAAAGCCTCAATCTAAATCAGGGGTGGGGCACCTGATAGATTTTTTCTATCAGTGGCCACTGACCCACAGAAAAAATCAGTCGCGGGCCACATACAGCCCCATGGGGGACACGGAGGCTCGGGGTGTCCCACCCCAGCAAGGCAAGCCAGTGCTCGCAGCTCCAGCCCCACGGGGGAGGAGGGGCAGAGGCTCGGGGCTTCCCCCAAGCTGGGGTGGGGCCAAAAATGAGGGGTTCAGGGTATGGGACGCGGCTCTGGGCTGGGGCAGGGGGTTGGGGTGCAGGAGGGGGGTGAGGCATTTGGAGTGCAGGAGGGGGCTCCAGGCTGGGGCAGGGGATTGGGAGGTGGTTCAGGGTGTGGGCTCTGGGAGGGAGTTTGGGTGTGGGAGGGGGCTCAGGGCAGGGGGTTGGGGTGTGGGAGGAGGGTCAGGGTGTGGGCTCCGGGAGGGAGTTTGGGTGCAGGAGGGGACTCAGGGCTGGGGCAGGGGATTGGGGTGCAGGTGTAGGTATGGGTTCTGGGAGGGATTTAGGGTGTGGGAGGGGAATACGACCTGGAGCAGGGGATTGGGATGCGAGATCTGGGAGGGAGTTAGGGTGTGGGTTCCAATTTGGGGATGGGGTTCAGGGTGCGGGCTCCGGCTGGCTGGCGCTTACCCCCAGTGGCTCCCAGTCAGTAGGGCTAAGGCAGGCTCCCTGCCTGTCTTGGCTCCACGCTGCTCCCAGAAGCGGACGGCATATCCCTGCGGCCCCTAGGCAGAGACACGGCCAGGCGGCTCTGCGCAGTGCATGCTGCCCACGCCTGCAGTTCCCATTGGTTGTGATTCCCAGCCAATGGGAGCTGGGGGCAGCGCACGGAGCTTCCCTGATCGCTCCAGCGCCTAGGGGCCGCAGGGACATTCCATCCGCTTCCGGGAGCTGCACGGAGCCAACCGGACTTTTAATAACCTGGCAACCCTAGCTTCCCCCGGCCGCGGGGCAAGCCGGCGCTTGCGGCTCCAGCTTCACAGGGAGTTGCGGGGGGTGCTGAGGCTCAGGGCTTTCGGCCCACAGCGTGGAGACTTGCCGAGGGCCGGATGAAATGAAGCAGTGGGCCAGATCCGGCCGGCAGGCTGTAGGTTCCCCACCCCTCATCTAAATGATTGATTTTAATCTACTTTTCCATTTTTACTTCAGTTATTTTCTAGGGAAAGGTGCATTCTCATTGGTTGATATAACCATTAAAACGTGTTCATTTACAACTAAATAGAGCCTTTACACTAGATTTGGTACATCTTTTTACTACCTAGGAGGTTACACTATGACTATATACATTTATTTAAGCAATTATATAGCTTAATATTTTCAAATTCTTATTATACATTTTTAGTATGTTAGAAGATGGTGAATGATATATTGCTTATTCACTAGATAATTAACTTTTTTCTCATGATTTGTGTCAAGCTGCATTAGGATGGTAACTAGAATTTAATTAAACATACAAAACAGCATATCAAAATTATTTTTATTTAACAAAACAAGCCCTTAATACAGTACATGACCTATTGTGCTCTATCTATAAAGCTTGATGTCAAAAGTTAGCTGTTTTCCCCCTGCTTCTTTCTTTATATAGAAATGCAGTCTTTAACTCAGTTTTGATAGAGGCTTATGGATTCAGCATATTTATTTTTTATTTAAATGTTTTAAGAGATTATAATAAGTTTACGTCTTAACATATTTTGTATTACATTCATATTTCATTTTAAACAGGTTTATTTTTATAAAGAAAAACGTATTAAAATTTAAATAAAATAATCCAATTTAAATGAAATTTTTTTTTTTTTTTTAACAAAATCATTGATTTTTTAGCCTCTCACTCCCACCCCTCCAGATAGAAGGTTCTGTACATTGTGTAAATCAGAAAGAAGGCCCAAGTCAGTTTAAACTCAGGCTATTTATCGCAAAGTCATTTCTTTGTCTGTTGGTCTGTGAAAAATCTAGTTTGAGCTAGTATACGCAAGCATCCCCAGGAGGTGGTACCTCTTTTGGGGATTACAACCTGGCTGACTTGCCTTAATCACCATCCACTGTTTTTAGTTCCTGTAGGAGCTGTGGTAGCCTTCCCCCCTGTAGTGGAACACAATAAAACATTCATTTAAACAGTGGACCCCAAAGATACACATGGGGTTGCAATATTTGTCACATCTCTCTCATAAAGAAATTACATACAGCCCCGGCCCACAATAATAGATACATAAGAGTTTCAAGGATATTGCAGGAAATTACCATATCTGTCACAGTGGCCACATCAGTACCTAGGATGGATAGACAGAAAATCATCCATCCCAAGCAAGTGTTATAATAGAATTTTACTAACTGTACTAGTCATTCCTACATGTTTGTATCTAGATTCTGGTTGAGACCCTCTCTCTTCAGCAATGCAAACAAAAGTGGTGAGATTTTCATTTATAAAACACAGCCATGGCACCTGCAATCCTGGACAATTAACTACAATTAAAAATGTTGTGTGCCCATCTTGGGAGACCTAGGGCATGATGTTTTTTTCAGAGATGGTGTGCAATCACAATTCAAAATGAAGACAGTGAGAGCAGCAGGCTCAGCACCTCTGAAAATCAGGCCGTAAGTGTCCCAAAATTAATGAACACAGTTGCAAACTTAACCTTTCTGTGTCTTTCGCCAGCTGTAAAATGGGGTTAGCAGTACTTGCCCACGTCACAAAGGTTGTTGTCAGAATTATTAATTAATGTCTGTAAAAGTTTTTGACATAAAAATTACTAACATTTAAACAGAATTGTCAAAGGTGAGATTATTTGCTTGATAAGATCCTTTTTCAATTGACTATTTTTGTACACCTTCAGAGAGGGGCTAATGTACCAAAGGTACTAGTGTTTTCAGATGAAGGAAATTTCCTGCATGCCTGGAATTCCACAGTTGAAATGCCTCATGGTATCTTTGCAGTCAGCACCCCTACAGATACCTCAATATGGATCACAGATGTTGGAAGTGGTATGTATAATGGGAACATGTTAAAAATATTATTCCACAGAGAAAATAGGTTTTTTGCAGGTATCCCTTTGAACAGTAATTTTAAGTGTTTGAATAAGATAATTGTCAGGGTTCCCTCTCCACTCTGAACTCTGGGGTACAAATGTGGGGACCCGCATGAAAGACCCCATAAGCTTATAAGTACCAGCTTAGGTTAAAAACTTCCCCAAGGCACAAATCCTTTCCTTATCCTTGGACGGTATTGCTGCCACCACCAAGTGATTTAGACTAAGATTCAGGAAAAAGATCACTCAAAGTCCCTATTTCCCCAAAATATCACCCCCAAGCCCCTTCACCCCCTTTCCTGGGGAGGCTTGAGAATAATATACTAACCAATAGGTTAACAAAATGAGCACAGACCAAACCCTTTGGTTTTTAGCACACTAACTCTTAAAAGAAGAACTTTATTATAAAAAAAAAAGTAAAAGAATCACACCTGCAAAATCAGGATGGAAGGTAACTTTACAGGGTAATCAAAAATTTTAAACACAGAGGACTCCCCTCTGGACTCAATTTCACAGTTACAAAAAAACAGTAATAAAACTACCTCTTAGCATAAGGAAAATTCACAAGCTAAAACAAAAGATAATCTAACGCATGTCCTTGCATTTACTTACAATTTCTGTAATTTTAGATGTATCATTTCAGGTATCTTTTTAGGAGCTGGTTTACCTGCTTGGTCTCTCTCTCTGTCCCAAGAGGGAACAAACAAAGAGCACAAACAAAACGTCTCCCCCCCCCCCCCCCCCCCAATTTGAAAGTATCTTCTTTCCCCATTGGTCCTTCTGGTCAGGTGCCAACTAGGTTAATTGAACTGATTAACCCCTTACAGGTAAGTGATTCTGTACCTCTGGCCAGGAGGGATTTTATGTTACTGCATACATAAAGGTTGTGACCCTTCCCTTTATATTTATGACAGTACCAAAAGAACACTAAGCCAGATTCATGCTCCCCGAGTCCTAATTGTGCACTGATCCAGTTCCCCAGTACAAGATAGAGCAATTTGAAGGCTCATGAGTTGTGCCACGTGCTCATTTGCCAGAGCTGATAATCTTGGCCAACATTTCCAGATCTTAATCAAGGAGCAGGGCCAGAAAAGCATGCATCTCAATGCATAATTTTTGTCCTCTATCCCATCCTGATAGCTCCAGTCCTGTGCACATGTACATTTGATGCCTCGCTAATCTGAAATCATTCTCTTACTACAGAGTTTTCTTAGTTCAGTTTCATTCTTAAAATGACAAGGGATTTTTATCTTGTTATTACTGTGTTGATGTTGAAGAGCCATGGTTTTGCTGAGAAATTTCTATGCCTTTCTTTAATACAGGGGAGTATGGGCACACAGTTAAACAATACAGTCCTTCTGGTAAACTTATTCAGATCCTGGGTACTCAAGGTAAAGCTGGCTCAGGTTTAAATCCGCTGCAGTTCGATCAGCCAGCAGAAATATTTGTGGAACAAACAGGGGAGATCTACATTGTGGATGGAGATGGAGGGATGAACAACAGATTATTCAAACTGTCCACAGGTATGTGAAAAGGGAACGTACACAAGAGTTGACATTTGAAAATGTAGAGGCCTAGTAGTTTTAAACATCAACATTGCTAACTGTGGGCCTGATCTTATGGCAATTAGAATTAGTTGGCAGACTCCCCATTGATTTTGATGAGCTTTGGATCAGAGCCTATTTCACTACTGATCATTTTAGCAAAAATACCCAGCTAATCAGCTAACTCCTTGATTGTCATGTTTTTAATACACTTCTACCCCGATAGAATGCGACCCAATATAACACGAATTCAGATATAACACGGTAAAGCAGCGGGGAGCCCCGGGCCCTTTAAAGCGCCACCCAAGACCCGCTGCTTTACCGCCTTATATCCGAATTCGTGTGGAGCCCCGGGCCCTTTAAATCACCGCCCGAGCCCGGCTGCCAGAGCGGGCCGGGCCGGTTTGTTTACCTGCCGCGTCCGCAGGTTCAGCCAATCGCGGCTCCCACAGGCCACGGTTCGCCACTCCAGGCCAATGGGGGCTGCGGGAAGCAGCGGCCAGCACATCCCTCGGCCCGTGCCGCTTCCTGCCACCCGCATTAGCCTGGGACGGTGAACCGTGGCCAGTGGGAGCCGCGATCGGCTGAACCTGCGCACGCAGCAGGTAAACAAACCTGCCCGGCCCGCCAGGGTGCTTAGCCTTGTGAGCCGCGTGCCAGAGGTTGCCGATCCCTGTACTACATAATAAAAGTGAAAACTACTTTTTCATTATTTATTCTGGTTTCTACTATTAGATTTCCAGGAGATATGGCTGCGTGGGGAAAATGGTACAGGTGTTGGTCAGTTCAAGATTCCTCACAGTGTCACAGTGGATTCTGTTGGACGGGTAAGGAATTAAAACTCTATTTTTCAGTGTTTTAGAGACAACTTTTATGCCTTGTCCTGTATATGTCTACATGTATTTTTGGTACTTAATGTCCTTTGGGGGGGTGGGGGGGTGGGAAGACAACCTAAAAAGTGCCATTCTTTCATCTTTGATTATTGAGATCTGGCCTACTGCATACAATTTTAATCACGTGAGCAGTCATGCTTAACTTTTTCAACACCTGTACCATTGAAAACTTTTTCTTGACATGGTTGGGAGGGTAAGAGGAAGTCTTGACAAGCTGCCATAATCTCTTCACATACATATATACACGGACTTCCTACAGACTCCAGGAAGAGGCTGCTACTCCTACAGACCTTTAAAGGGTTTGCACTGCAAGGGGGCAAGAAGAAGGAAGTCCCCCTAACATGCTGCCACCCCCACCCTGTTCCTGTGCATCTTATGGGCTCTGTAAGGTGGGAGCATTGACTCTGAGAACCTTTGGTGTTGTGGCTCCAAAGCTCCTTCAGAGAATCTTAGGACAATTTAAAAACTAAGAAAATTCCCTGACATACAACTCTGATGGGTTCTAACTTAGATAGCTTAACTGAGTGCCTCAGAGGTTGAGTACACATTGTGACACTTCCCAGGTAAACACAGGGTTATGTGGCACCTCACTACCACCTGCCCTTAGTGTGAGGAAGCCTTGTCTGGGACTGCTGTGGATCAGCTCTCCAACCTTACTGGCCACAGGCAACACAAGTACTCCCCTCTAGGCCTTGCAGGCTCTGCTGTCACTCTACAGGTTAACGATAGGCCACTGGAACCGTTGAGCTCTCCTAGTGTCTCCCTGGAGTGTCCAGACTTTTGTCCATGGGACACTTGCAGTATTCACCAATCCGCTGCTTCCAAGAAACTACAACCCACCTTGCCAGTTTAACTTCAGATCACCACTTCGCTTAACTCGCAGCACTTAGATTTGTTTATAGTGAAATCAGGTATAAATTTATTTAACAAAACATAGAGATTCAAGTAATAGCAAGTGGAAATATTGGAAACAAATGATTGTATGTAAAATAAAATCATAATATGCATTCTGGAGCCTAGACTTAATTGACAAGATACCCTCATATCTAGTAGGATAGGATACTGCTCGCCCAAACTCCTTGCAGCACTTTACAGCTAGGGTGGCTGTGACCCTTCTTTCACGAGACATGCACGCTGTAAGTTTGCCTCCGAGATGAAGGATTCAGTGTGTCTCTTAGCACTCCAAGATATACCAGACCAATTCTTTGTCTTTATTATAAACAGGACACACCCCTACTTTGTTTCTTCCTATAAATTTCCTCTCTTGTATATTTCTCAATCTCTCAATTTGTACCTGGCTCAGTATGCAAATAGGCATACAGTGTGTGGCATATAACACACCAATGGCCAGACAGGGAAATAGATATCAGTTACCTCCTGTGTGAAAGGAATATCTTTGAGGTATGCCACTCCTGGTGATCTGCCTTAACTCCAAGACCGTAAGAACATAATTTTCAGTATATATTAGGGAATCCCTGTAAAAACATGCGTGCCCCCTGTGCCCTCTGCCAGTTGGCACCAGGCAGGGAGTCCCTGGGTCACACACAGTCTTACAGAAATGCTTTAATTTCTCAGATAAATAAATACATAAATAACTTTTAAAATATAAACTTTTTTTTTAAAATTCAAAGTATGGAAATTCACGGGTAAGGTACACAAACTGTCACTTACCTCTGCCCCTGAGCAATAATCTGACCTCGGCAATAATCTGAGAAAGCTAAAATGTTTGATGGACATGATTGTCTATAACAAAACAGTTTCATCTTGTCAGCGATTGCAATAAATGGGATGCCTTAATCTTAATAGTACAGTGTTATTACAACCCATTCACAGTCCACAGAAAGAAGCCTACTCCACACATTTCTGTTTAGCCCAAGGGCATACTGAAGATAACCAATCCCCAGAATTCCCTGTGCCAGCCAGTTTTCAAATTGTCATTGCGCACATATGTATTTACATATGCAAACCTCCTAGATCCTGCTCATGAAATTAGATCACATAGCTGAAAATAAAGAGCAATTATTAGTTTGGTAACATCATAATTAGTATTGGATATGTGTATGTATATGAGCACTGAAAAACCTGTGTTTTGTGGTAAACATTTCTGTCTTGCATCCACAAAAGAGGGGAGCATAAGACACTGGCATCTCTATTGGGGCAGAGTAAAGTAGTTTGTGTGTCTTATCTGTGATTTTTGATATTTAGTTTAACTTCATTGTAAGGTTTTTTTTTTTTTTTTTTTTTTGAGGGGGAGTCTGAGAATTAATACCTGGTTAGTCAACTTTGTAAAGTAAAAGTTGAGCCAAATTCATTCGTGATGTAACCCTCTTTTCTTCACTATATTTGGCCCATTATGTGTAAGGAACATCTGATGCTTTTGATGTAGCTATTTATAGCTGTATATACTGTATTGATGTAGTATAGCTATATTTACTGTGTACAATAGGTGTGGGTTGCTGACCGAGGAAACAAACGAATCCAGGTTTTTGATAAAGTCACAGGGGAATGGCTGGGGTCCTGGAGTAGTTGTTTCGTAGAAGATGGTCCCTCTTCTGTCAGGTACTGTAATTATGTATTTCCACAAAAACATTTCAAAGGAAACAGAATGCGACTTTTTCTCCAGTAAGATTCCACATTACTTTAAGTTGATAGCAAATGCTTGATATCAGGCTCTGGAATTAGCAAGTGGAATTGCTGTGGAATTAGATCCTGACTCCTGATCCTGCAATAGGATCTGTAAAGGTAAATCCTTGCAATCATATGACTTCATAAGATCTGCCTATGTGGATCCATCTGGTGGATTGGGACTTTCACTTTAATTTAAAGCTGTGAGTTTTATAGGCTTTGGGGAACATGATTAGGAGCTTGATATTGCCCCCCTTACTCAGATGTGTAAAGGCTACAGGCACAGGCCCTAACTTCCTTTGTGTAAATTCCTATTAATTTGCTGTTACACCAAAATCTGTGGCTCCAAAGAGCAGCAGCAGCAGCAGCATGTAGAGCAAGTCCTGCATGCTTACTCTGTGTACTCTACAGCCTGTGAGACTGAGAATGTTAGAATCGTTTTCATTTGATTTGAAAACTTCAGCAGCTGGAAGTTAAGTGACTGACACATGAGTTATACATGAGGATACCCTAAAACTCAGATTTGAAGTCCAAATCAGAAAGTTAGAAAACTGATTGCCTCCTCTGCACATGAATGCTGTTTGCTCACCTAGATATGGATAATAATTTTTAAAGCACATAGCAGTGTTAACATGAAGTGTTCTAACAATATGTTAATTCTAATTTTATTTATTTATTTTTAGATTAACTACCAATGAGGAATATCTAATTGTAGCTCAGCTGAATATTAACAGAGTGTCTGTCTTGGCAGCACCACCGATAGGATCCATTGGAGATTGCCATGTGGTAAACACAATCCAGCTAGCTGATGAGGTTAAACCACACCTTGTGGATGTAAATGTGAAGACTGGAGCAATTTATGTTGCAGAAATTGGTGCACAACAAGTACAAAAATATGTACCCTTAAACTAATGGTTTTCTTTGGTTCATTCAGCACAAGCCATTTCTTCTGGATTGCAAGATCTGTGCTGGATTTCCTTACATTCATTGCAGACTGTGCTTCCACTCATAAGCACAGCATGTTGCAGCACTAGAATGCATAAAATAACTGTTTTGTGACCTGCCCTCACTCTTATTTTCTTTGTCAAACTCAGGGAGCTATTTTCTCTTGATCTGTCATTATTTGTCTTTACTGGCATCTTTTGTGTGTTTTGTTTCATTTTTGTTAGTTGTTGGGATTTGGAGAATGCATTTGATATGCATATTAGTTCCGTTTTACCCTGCTTTTAACTTCAAGGTAGTTTTTCCCCTTGTTTCTTGATATATCATAAGACATTAGGTTTGTAATTATTCTGCTAGTCTAGACATAATTTCCATTGTTAATCAATATACACTTTACCTCCAGTGTCCGGGGTGAATCTTGTGACTTCTTTGCCTAGCCAGTGCACTCTGCTACCTCCTAACGTCCTAGCTGGCAGAGAGAAATGTCTACATATTTAATTTTCCAGAAGCCTTGTCCACTTGAGGCTCTGGACTCTAGCTTAACATTGCTTCAGGTTTCCTTGACCCTTTATGCTAACATTGTCCAACTCAGAACATAAAGATTTAGCATATCATAGTCTCCTGGGCTTCAGTGCGACCTTTGACACTTAGGGCCAGTGCTGAGGTTTTAGCATCTCTGGCATCTATCTTAGGTAATCATTGATACCGCTGTTGACATCAAAGGCATCAGTTCTTTACTGATTTAAGCTAACTCCATATAAAACACTTTAAATGAAATTAAGAGTGTCTTCACAATGAGGTGACACTGATTTTTAACTAACTGAGTTTCTAAATTGATTTAGTTAAATCGGTACAAGTTTTATGTGTAAGCAAGGCCTCAAAGTAGAATGTGTTGAAGTTTAACATCTGAGATCCCTGAGGCACATACTGGGGATTTACTAGGAGATTTTTAATCAACCTTAGGCCTGGATACCTATAACATGCTTCTGTCCTCTTAATCTTGTTGAAACTTAGACACGTTGTCTACAGCAATATTTGGCCTTTGGATTCTTGTTTTTAAAGACCAGTCTGATCTTTTATTCTGCCTTCAGATTTTCAAGGACATTCTTTCAATATTAAGCTGTGACTTTCCATTTCTTTTTGAGGGACTTCTGCCAATACATCAGCAGTTGATTTCTCTTTAGCACAGAACTTGTGCAAACTTCTTTGTGACTGTTCCAGAGTCATTGTCTTTATATTTCTTCCCCTGAATCCAGTTTGGGTTTTGAGTTGCATAAATTAGCTTCATTATCTTCTCCAAAAAACATACACCAGCATCTTTCTGTCCATCCCTTCCCTAGTCCACAGTAATTCCAAAGCCTTTTAGGTGTTGCTGGACAGCCTTTCAGAGTATCCTCTCTTCAGTGTAGAAGGGGTGAAAAAAGAGCACCAGTTCTTTGATATATTTCTAGTGGTCAAGAATGACTCTCCTGGTGAAAGATTGGATGCATCTTAAGAAACTGTGGACCCATCCTCCTGTTCAGTCAGGAGTTATGAATGCTTTTTCCTTTTCTTTTCACATAACTATCCTGATTCCTTGGCTATTTTGGGTGCTAGTAGTAGGTCAAGAGAGGCTAAGCTGTTCCACCTCCCCAGGTAAGGAGTATGGGAAGTGGAACCATGGTTCACCATCATGGATGTCCCAGCAGTTGAATGTGGTATTGCTTAGTTCAATACCAGGTTAACTAAAATTAAGGTTTGCTCAGTTTAGCCTTGAAGACCTTTCTTGCCACAGTGTCCAGATCCTTATGTAACGTTACAGCAACAGTCTACATGAATCATCAAGGAAGAGTCAGATTTGGTTGCCATGTCTGGACATTATTGCTGCTTTGGAACCAGGCAATCCTGAACAAAGAGGACTTTGTATAGATGGTTGTGATACTGAAAAAGACACTGTACTGGCAGATACCTTCAGATTGGCAGCTCAAGAAGCCTTCCAAGTGATGCAGATCATAAAGTTCTGCATGTGCCTTAGAGACTTGACTTTGAGACTCGTCACTCAAACATCAATTTTTTAAAACCATTTTTGGCTGACCTTTGCTGCCCGCCTCATCCTTAGAATCAGTGGGAGCTAGGTGCCTAAATGCCTTTGAGAATCTGGGCCAAAGTGTGTTTGTTCAGTTTATAGGTACTTGTGGTATGAACAGATGTCACCTGGTGATTAGTAGGAGGCTATCAAACTCCTTTTCACTGCTATACTTGTGACCTAGTTCAAGAGGTGACTGATAAGTGCTTGAAATTGTAAAAATAATTGAGCAAAATTACATTTTAGCATAATTTGGCAAAAAGTAAGTAAGGCTTTCACAATGGGGAACCTTATGGCTTAATTTGAAAGTGCTCCTCATTTCTGTAGCTCGGTGTGATGATTTTGGCTGCATGGGATTTTTTGATCTGGGGAAAAGTGGGGGGGGAAATCAGACTGGTAAACTTGAACTGTTCATCTAAATGACAATGTTTTGTATAAAAAATGTTTTTAAACACATTTTGCCTGATTTGCACACAGCTTAGTAAAATTACTTACTTGGAAGCTAAAATTCTGTGTCCCTTTTCTCTTCCTACCTCACCACTCTTGTGACTCTCGCTCTGTATGACATCAATAGTAAATTGAAAATGGATGCATACATCTTAATTATTACAGTTTATCATATGTTTTCCTCAGAGTAATTACTAATATGTGATGATTGAGTTACATAAGCCTTGATACGAAAACAGCAATATGATCATTTCCAGCTACACTGAGTCTTTTATAGAGGATTAGACTAATTCTTTTAAAATATCCAGATATTAAATTAAGATTGAAATCAATGAGGGATTTAAAGAGCTCAAATTGTTCAGCTTGTCAAAAAGAAGATCAAGCGGTGACTTGATTACAATGTATAAAGTACCTTCACAGGGAGAAAATACCAGGTACTAAAGGGCTCTAATCTAGAAGAAAAGAGCATAACAAGAACTAATGGCTGGAAGTTAAAGCCAGACAAATGCAAATTAGAAATAAGGCACACATTTTTAATAGGGGATGAACCATTGAAACAAACTACCAAGGGAAATTGTGGATTCTCTATCTCTTGATGTCTTCAAACCAAGATTGGATGATTTCTGGAACATAAGTTATTGGGTTCAATACAGGATTAACTGGGTGAAATCCAAGACCTATGTTTATACAGGAGAGCACAGGAGATCTAATGGTCCTTACTGGCCTTAAAATCTAGTGACTGAATTTGACTACAACAACCTTCCTTAAAACTCTCTCAAGGTGAGCAACACTGTGTTTGTTTCGGGTTGGGTGAGTAATACATCAGAAGGGTATTTTTACTTGATTATTCTCAATATAAGTGTGAGCGAGCCGGTGAATTTTAATAACAGTTTTGTGAAGCTGGACTTCCCATACTATAAGGAGGATGGATGGGTGGGTGTTTCTTCTGAGTTAATGTAACCTAGCTTACTTTTCTTGTGTGTACCAATAGTACCAATCTTTCAAATAAACAATTTCTGTAGTGCCAGAGGTGGTAGTTCTTCCTCAAAATAAGGTTTATTTATGTAATTTATTTTCTGAATTGTGTGCTAGCAATTTGTTACCTGTATCTTTAAATACCATTATTGATATCTTTTCAGCCATGCAAGCCATTTTGGGTGAAGGCAAGGCTGTTCAGTTTTTTGTTTGTTTGTTTTTTTCATTAAGGAGAATGGGAAACTATATCTTGAACATGCGGAAAACAGCAGTGTGGTACTGATGCATTTCTTCCTCCATGCCTCAAGAAAAATTGACCACATTCTGTCAAAGACAAAGGATTTGCTTGGTGACATTTTCCATTGTTCAGTGTAACCAGGCTGTACAAAAAAAGTTAATTTCGTTGCTGGTAGAAAAATGCAGAAAAGTTTTCATTATTTTTTTTTTTTTGAAACTTCAGGCTTTGGCCAGCTGACATCAATTTTCCTTAGTGTATGCACCTTCCTCTAACATTAATGGAAAGTACAGGCACTTTCATGCACATGTGTTTTCATCCTGTGGGAAATCTGCTGTGCAGTCAGTAGTTACACAGTGTAGAGGGGCCATAGTAATGACCCCATGGGAAGAGCAATCTCTTGGATGACTACATGAACATGGTGAGAATTATTATTTATTATTTGTATTATAATAGAGCTACCTTCTGTATGCAAAATCAGTAACCACATTGTGCTAACTACGTATAGACACCTATGCTAGAAAGCCTTGTTAGACACTTTGAAACATGATACTGTCTAGACTGCTACAAAGCACTGTAAAATCCCAGTTTCTGGTGACAACAAATTAACAGCATTTAAATATGTTACGATACTGCAACATGTCATTGGTTAATAACGTTGTATAACAATTGTACCAGTTTATCCTGTTGACAATCCCTGAGCCAGGGACTCCTCCGAAGATTTTTGGTTTTTTGTTTTCTTAAAGTTGATTTAGAAATAAAAAAAAGTTGAACTCTTTCAGTCTGAAAAATAGCTACTAAACTGTACATTAGTTTGTCCAAATCATGTCCAAATCAGACATTATCCCTTGCAGCAAAGTGGATGGAGGTTCTGTGACACATATAAAAAAGTGATTGTTATCCTCTCTGATACATTATCAAGGAATTAAGTAACCTGAGCAAACAGGTTAACCCATAGAAGTTTACATCTGAAACAAATGTGCAAATATGGGTTAGAGAGACAAGGTGGGTGAGGTAATATCTTTTATTGGACAAGCTTCTGTTGGTGAAAGAGTCAAGCTTTCAGGCTTACACAGAGCTCGAAAAAGAGATTTAAAAATGTTATTAAACCTAATGTTAAAATTATATAATACACAGGTTAAGGAAAGAGTGTCTGTACATCTGGGTATAGTGCTTAGATTATCCACAAATGCAAAGTTTGATTTAAAAATCATAAGATACATATAGTACATAATCTTAAATAATCCAAATGTAGGTGAATAAATTTAACAATTCAGTTTAGATATTAGCATCCAAATATTTGGGTACATCACTCATGAAAAGTTATACAGAGAATTGGTTGTAGAAAGCAAATATGGGAATGAATGTAGATTGTCCCTCAGTGATTGAGAATTTAGGATAGGTTCTCCCTTAGAAAATACAACCATCAGGGAAGTATGTCTGTTATTACTTCAACACCTTGTCCCTCTAATATCCTGGGACCAACACAGCTACAGCAACACTGCAAACAGGTAAATTTTGGCAGTTACTGAAATTGCTTATTTGAAACACAAGAGGGCACCAAAACTCTGTTATTGATGGCTGGCATCTTCAATGTACAAGGCAAGCGCAAACAACAAATCAGGTCTGAAAGTCAACAGTAATCAGTTGCTCTTTATTTTCTCTTTTCAAACCAGATAATTCTGTTACAAATGACTGTGTATTGTTACAGGTTTTATGGTCATTTTTATTTGTCTCCATTACATTTTCTAGTTGAACGAAATCCTTTCAGTAATCTAATGTCCACAGGCTACCAGATATCTGAACTGATTCTTCTTTTCCTTACACCAGAGATTTCAGTGGAATTTGTTGCGTTAGAAGTGACATATGTAAA